TAATGGATGATAGCTGAATAATAATCATTTAATTAGTGTAAAAAGTAGGGATTCACCTCTCATGATGTGCAAAGTTAAAAAGAAATTACTATAATAAACCAAATTAAATATAAAATAAAAGTTTGCTGCTAATTAGCAGTATCACAATTTGTTGAAGATAATGTTGCTCGTTAGTGGTGTTGCGCTGAGTCAACGTCCAGTCGGTCAGTGTATTCTGACAAGACGGACATGGAGGACTGAGGTCATCAACTTTCAGAGTGAAGACACAGCTGACAATCATCAGTTTCAATAAATAATTTACTCTACACCTTCAATTTGTGCATCAACCAGAGTGTGAGAAAAAAAGTAAACTGCCAAGAAAGACATCCAACATTTTACAGGAAGTAAAGACAGTAGAAGAGAAGAGAAGAAAAAAACAAAACAAAGACAAAAAGTCCAAAAAGCTCGGTTCTATTTGTATTGTCTCTGGATTAGTGGATCATTTAGAAACGAATCCATCATGCAATTCCACGGAGGAGTCTGATTGGTTCCACATTTATTCGGCAGACAGAAATCAATCCTAGCTATTCCAGAACAATCTTTCAGCAGATTTCAGCAGTTGCTTCTGTTCATTCAAACCCTCATCTCTATTTTTAAACATTAACTGTTAAACATTTAGTAGTATAGTCTAACTTAATCTGTCAAACTAATCCGGCCCATCACATCAGTTTATGGGGCCCACTAGAGTTTTGCATTTGTATGGTTATATATGTATGCAGAGCAAAAGGGAGATTGCTATCAATGGTTAAGGCTAGTTCAGATGTGCAATCACAAACTCTTATGCACATTAGGCCAGAACACTTTTGATCATCCTGCAGGTGAAAATGTGTACAACAACCTCTTTTACCAGCGTGTCTGGTGTTTAGATGAGCCGGCAGATTTGTTTGCACTGATGTAAATTCAAAGACCGAGTAACAAACGTACCATCGGTTCCTCCTGACCTGCATTCAAACAGGTCCTATTCAAGGTTGGTAAACTTGAAAATCGCTGCATTAATTTAAAACCAATCTCAAAAAAGTAATGTTGACATCAGCCTTGTCAATGGCGATTGGTGTGAGCTACAGGGGAGTGCAGTGCGAGCAAATTGCTATGATTCATTCGGGAAATTACTTTTTTACATTAGCGTTTCACAACAGCACTCAAGTGGAGGCATGGGATAAATATGGCCTGGGAAAAATACATATGTTTCACCGTTACACAAGTCGTAATGACACAAAAACAACAGCTACTGAAAAGCACTTGGAATTGTTGACTCCTCCAAACGTTGAACAGCTGTAATTAGTGAATAATGCTTCACAGCTTTTGCGGCTACGCTTCTCTCCATCTGTTGTAAACAAACATTTTCCTCTCAGGTGTAAATATATATCTTTTTGCTCCACTGCTCTTTTTATTCACTTTCTCTTTCATGCTGTCTCTCATATCTGTGCCTCTCATCCACAGGGCGTTAAACCAGCAGCTCACAGCTACACGTTAAAACCATATGCTGTTGTAAACCCAGATCCTTCGATGGTTTTGACGATCAAATGAAGCATGCTGTCGTCTGTCACGTTGCATCTTACGTTTCTCCGAGCTCTTGTTTTGCCGAGTTAATCAAGGAAGACGCAGCTTCCGTGCCACAGGAGAAATAGTGCAAGAGACAGAAACAACACTTAATGGTTCAGGAAAATGGAAATCTGATTTTCAAAATCACGGGTTGCCTCGTTGACAAGAAACTCAAACCAGCAACACGGCATGCATCAGAGACAACAGAGCAATACAGTCTGGATTTGTTTTGTAAGGATCGTTTCATTTAAATTAGAAAAGCAAAGTGTGGCGGAATACAACAGGAGGGTACTTACTGAAACACACAGCCAACGAATACAAATGGACTTGATAATCCCCCCGTCACCACACACACTCAAAATAAACCTTATAACAGCTCAGAGAAAATAGGAATATTATGAACTATGATCAGGGCTGACGGATTATTAAAATGATAAATCTGATTAATCACAGCATGGATGTGAATTAATCAAGATGAATCAACATGCTTGGTGTGACAGAAATATATACAGTATATTTATATATACGTGTTTGGTGTGTGCAACATTATTATTATTAACATGTTATTTACATTTATTACTGTATCTTATATGGCGTATATAGTTTAAATTAAAATTAAGTATATAATAATAGTATAGTACAGTATAGTACAGTAAAGTATACATTACTGTTATTATTTTAAAGACGTGAACAATAATGAGTTTTTTGCGGGGGTTTTTTTTCAACATTGCTGAGACTCCCTGAAGACAAACACTTTGGCAAAAGTGGAGAGAAAATATTCTACCTTTGCTCCAAGAAGAAAATATTTGCTGTAATGTGACGTCAATATATTAAAGAAGAATTTCGTACAGGCTTTTCATCATCTCTGCTGCAGGAAGGCTGGAGCCAGATCATGCAGGCAGATTCACCCTGGACAGTTCAGCAGTCTGTCACTGGGCCATATACACAGACATATAACCAGTCACAGTCACATCAATAAAACCCTGCACGTTTATGGACTCTGAAAACCAGAGTAACTGGACAGAAACATCCAGACTCCAGATAGAAAAACTAGCATCAAACTAACCAACTGCACTAACTTTTTTTCTGTGGTCCCAGAATGTTTTTCTAACTGCTTTTTTTTTGGAAAGTGACTAATGCAGCTGGCCAAGGACCTCGTAGCCACAAAATACATTTTCTCTCCCAGTAACAACAGTTTTGACTGTGGACAGTCAGAATTAGTTTGGTTGATTTCAGCTGCATTTGTCCGTCCACATACTGCACTACAGGGAATGATTGGCTGTTCAAAGGCACTGTTTACCCTGTGTGTGTGTGTGTTGTTTTTGTATCAAATACGTGTGAAACAGAAATTCCATCACGTTAAGTCGACATTGAGTTTGATGGATGCATCAAGAGAGTTCAATATGTCGAATAAAGCCACAGACAGACAGACGACACGTTCAAGTGCAGTTCAATTATGTCAAAACGTCTGTGTAGAGAGGTGTATATGATGGTATATCAAACAGAGGTATAACAAATTTGCTGGAATCCATGTAAAAATTTAGGTTATTTATATACAAATATATATTGAAATAATATATATATAGAGAGAGAGAGAGAATTTGTTCACAAATTGCTTTTCTGCTCATAATTTCAGTTAAATTTCAGTTTCTAATTGTATGCCAGTGGATTTCATGTTGCAGTGTTTTGGTCTTAATGTGATGGACTTCACCCCAAACCTGTTACTAAAGTCATACAACCTACATGGAAACAAAACTTTACAGCTGTTGTTGGTTTTGTTACTGAAAACCAGAACTGTGTGACTCGCACGAAAAAAGACTCAGGATCCTGCAGATAAAAAACCAGGTGATTCAGAAAACGTCCGTTGTCAAAGGATTTGCATTCACAGAGGGTCCTCACAGAGGGTCCTCACAGAGGTCAGTGGTTAATTACTTTAACCAGGTTTCAGGAGAGGTGTGAGATTCTACGTCTCACATATGAATTCATGCAAAACTCATACACATCATCATTAACCTCTGAAGACAAAAGGCTGCGCTGAATCAATCTGGCATACCTTGTTGTTTTTCATATAGAAACTCTCTCCAGTATCTGTCTGATCCCCTGTTTTGAAGTACTCTCTCTGTCAGAGCAGGAAAATTAAATTTCAGTCGTCAAATGATGTTAACAATTAGATGAGTCTCAGAGACTCGAAGCACAAACACAAGACACAAAGGTGCATTTTCCTGGGAGGCTGTGACAAATGAATTAGCATATCTCTCTGATGCCACTGGTTTCCATGACAATGATGTTGTATAAAAAAAGAGGGTTGGAAAATAGTTTTTTTTTTATCATTCTGACGACCCCACCCATGGCTACAAACTCTGCCTGTGTGAGAAGGAATGAAAGTGTTTATCATACAATAATAACGGCTGCTGCCTTGCTGTAGTTCCACAGTGCCCTGCAGTACTATATGAAGCCACCAGGGCGGTGACAGAACACAAATCAATTTATAGAAAGCTTGACATTTACTTTTTGTCATTGTTGTCAATGATGAGAGAAATGGGATTTTTTTTGGTTGTTGAAATTTTAAAATTTAAATAATATGACTGAAAGTGGCAGTTGGTATTTGAAGTATCAGTATTGAGTGTAAATGTGTGTGCAGGTTGTGTGAAAGTGAGGGCCGAGGTGGTCAGAAGGTCGGAGGGGGGACTGGGGATGTGGTTCAGAATCAAGGTAAACAATGTTAGACTAAGAAAACACCAGTTCAAGATTATAACGACGTGTAAACAATCAGATCTTTGGATTGTTGTCAGAAATAAATCAAAATATTTGGATTAATTTGCTGCATTTTAATCAATTATTTCTTTTATATTTTATACAAACACCACCAAAACGTTCGAATGTCTTTTCTTTGTTCGTCACACAAAGAACTACAATCCTTTATTTTTGCTTTCACTACTCAGCCTTGATTTTACTTTAACTCCCACTGCTGTAACAGGTGTTTTTTTCCCATCAGCCGTCTCAAGAGCAGCTCTGCACTTTCTGAATTCGTCACAAGATATTTCCCATAGGCAAGGTGTTGTCTAAATAGAATTGCGTTTAGAAATGACCTGCCTTCTGTTTAAATTACACTAGAATGTGCTTTCTCAGAAATATTTTTGGAGATGAAAACCAATCACCAAAACAACAAGAACAAAAAAAAGTGCTCATCCACTTGTCAGACGTTGTTATCGACAGAAAGAAAATCAGAAGAAGAAAAAAAAATGTGCCTCAAAAATAAATAATTGTGATTAAACTGATTCACACTAGAACAGTGGTTCTCAAACTTTTTCTACTCTGTACCACCAACTCTCTGAGTACCACCATGATGACCAACATTAGAATACAGCAGCAGAGGCCTTCACTGTTAGCTTCCACCACAGGAGAGATGTTTAGAAATGTTTAGAAAGATGGTTATGTTTAAATGTTGTATTAATTGTGCATGGTATGTTTCAGATTTATTCAATTGAAAATGTAAATGTCAAAATATGAATTTTGCCTGTGTACCATTAGAGAGCACTCGCATACCACTGGTGGTACACGTAGCACCGTTTGAGAACCACTACACTAGTAGATATGTCCAGTTGGAAATATTAACTCCTGTCCTGGTTTACATTTCTGAAAGTCTGTAGTGGTCGCAGCAGAAACGATGATATCGAGCCATCGTGAACAAGCAGGAACAGAAGAAAGGACCTTGCTTTTGGACGTGAAAAAATACAGATGAAACCTGAAAACAATTGTCACAGTAATTTTCAGCTCAGCTGGCCACAAAAGTCTGTCTACAGAGCTGTTATTAAAGCCTCCCCTCAGGTGTCAAGGTGAGTGAGTTTAACCAGTGTAAACACTGCGAGATTAATGGTGTGAAATGGCTCAGCGGCCCACAGAGCTGGCAGCTCAGCAGTTACGGTGTCAATGAAAAGTTTATTAATGTTGTGGAAGCTGCAGACGCTGCCTCTGTTTGGCTCATGTGTGTTTGCTCTTTCCTACCGTTTCCCTGTGACTGTGTGATAAACTGGAACAAGTCCAGGTGCCCCTCTTATATTGTTAATGATTCACACAGATGTCACGTTCAAACAAATCACGCCTGGAGATACCTCTCATTTTTACTGAGACGACAGCTCCGGCCCTAATTAGGAGAAATGTTTTTAATAGAGAAACTAATGAAATACTTTGTCATTGTTTTCTCCCTCTGAACAATGACAGCCATGTTCCAGATGATAACACGTTTAAGATGTTGATGCTGGGTCTACAGTTCATCACATGGGCCTGTATTTTTTTACCTTTGGACTCCCTCCTTCTCTTCTTCCCTCCCTCCCTCCCTCCCTCTTTTTTCCTCCCCCTCATGTTCTAGGACTTTATTTTGTACAAATACTCCCCAACACAGTACAGGCTGCTCCCACTCAGTAGCTGCACGCTCACAAATGCACCCAGTCTCTCCTCTTTTGGTCAACTACGTTCTCAGTGTTCCCAAAAGAACAAGCCCAGGAAACATGAAGTATTTCTTCATTTATTTTTCAAATAATCTCCCAGTGGAGATGCCGAAGGAAATAAATTGGATGGCGGAGACAAAAAGAGAGGACTCAGATGGAAGAACACCGCAGTCGGCCGGAAAATGCTATGCAACACAGCAGATAAAAGAAAATGTTGTTTTGAACGAGTGCAGGAAAGGTGTGGACGGGTGTAGACCCTCAGACGTGCTGTTTAGAAGAGGACAGAAAGAAAAATCCACTTTACAGATTGAAATGTTTTGCTACACCAGGGTCTGTACTGTACCATGCTGGTCAGCACTAAAAGCCTCTTTTTAAACAGGCGAGGGAATAAACGTCGTAAATAATGTAAATAAAGTACTTTAAATAGTCTGTTTTAAAAGCAAGGATTTGCTCTTACTGTTATCCTCTTAAAGCATTGGTTGTATTGCTAGCTTTATCTTTAAATTAGTATAAGCATACACTATAATAATAATATAGCAATAACATTGTTAATTATTAATAATAATAACAATAATAATAATTATTGTTGTTGTTATTATTGTTGTTGTTGTTTATAACACTAATAATAATAAAAAATGTCTTCCAATGATAGATCATGCTTATACAGATGGATTTAAATTTTTCAAATGTCAATTCTTGCTAAGTTTTTACATTATCCAGTTGTTTATATCCAAACACGTTGCAGAATAAAAAAATGATTTTTAGGATATATCTATTTTTTTTAGCCCGCACAGGAAACATTTGCGACTCCGTTGTTAACCACGGCTGTTTGAAGGGTAACTCTGAAGAAGGTCAAGCGCGGCTGGATTACTTTGCCTGTGGCAAATGAGGCAGAACAGGGTTAATTCTGTTTGAGTTTTTACACTAGAGTCAACCTCACAGCTCAGTGTGTTCACTGAAACTGGACAAGGGGGAAGGAAACAGAGGACGTGCTCAATCTCAGACGACAGAGTGAACGCACGAGCCGAAAAGAAAACTGCAGGGAAAACTGATGTCAACACATGAGCTTCAAACTGTAGGGTGTCAGAAGGGAACTAGACCGTCACAGTTAAAATCAGTCTTTCATACAGTAAATAAACACAAAATCAGTACCAAGAATTTTAAATTACCAAGATTTAAATTATTATTTGTTTTCTGACATAAGTCAAGGACACTGTATAGTATATACTTTGTTTAAAAACATCTGCGTTGTATTAAAAAACTTAGAAAAGACATGATATGGAACTAAATATAAAAAGCAGTAATATAAATAAATCATAAATAATATAAATAATATAATTAAATCAGTTGTAAATTGGTGGAATAACTAGAAATCATTTTGAAGCAAATCATTACCAACCGTTTCAAATGGCCACCCCGGAGAGTGTCATTTTTAATTTAACTGTGAAACCAGGAGGAGGGAGGTGGGCAAAAAATAAAATAAAAAATCTAAACAGTATAATGAGGTGATGAAAGGCAAAGTTGGCAGTAACAATTTAATTTTACCTGGTGTGTGAAAGAACTGATGAGTTTACAGATACTGACGCAATCAACAATTTAGGATGGAAAACAAAATCATAGATTTTAGGTTTTATACACAAAGGGGAGGGGGGGCAGCCAGGAAAGTTGTTTTTCTAAAAAAGTAAGGGGTTTGTCACATGGATGGTCATCATGTTGCTGCTAGTTAGCTGTCTTTAAATCTGGGGAGTTGGAAAGACGGAAGAGACATTTTCGGCTCCTTAAAGATTTCCAATTTAAATCTGCTAAACACGATGCCAAATGCAGAGTCCCAGCAAATAATGTCAACGATATTTATGATATTTTCAATAACACTGAATTCCACTCTGAATTCCAAGCAGAACCACCTGAACCCACACATCAATGACATATTTTGCACTACTTTGAAAAATCAGACATGCCAATGTGAAGTTCCAGCCAAGTGAGAGCGATTCACTTGGATTTGATTCAGACTGACGCAGCAACCAACCGTAGGAGCTCCTCACAAAAGTCATCACTTAATTTTGCGAAAATATTTGCATCCTGTTCCCATTTCAAAAACATATTTTCAGTCAAAACCAACTCTGTGAAAATCCTGCAAAATACCGAGACAACTCTCAAATGTCAAACAAACACAGCCACTCATTGGCTACTCATGAGGTCAGTAGAGCAGCAAGAATACAGCAAACAATATATGAAATATTTCTCTGTACTTTGTTGTTGTCGTCTTTTGACCTTCAGGGCCACCATAGGTGTGAGCACTAGAAGATGAATTAATGAATGAATGGATGGATGTTGGTGAGGAACATAAATCCACACCAGCCTGTCACCAACAAGTAATGAACAGCTTACAATGACAGATGAACAGTCAGCAGCAGGACATGGGGAAAGTCACATGCACCGAGCACAGGTGGCACTAATTGCAGATGAGCCAAGAAGGATGAACTACTGTATATGAATGGCACGTAGCCGTTGACAGATGAGCAGTTAGTGGCAGATTGAAAGAGTATTACATACCCAGTGTAGAGGTGCTGCTTCGCTGTAAAGGAGCCAGAGAGAACGAAGCCTGGAGGAGGAAAAGAATCAAAAACAGGAGGTGAAATATGTGTTTTTGGCACAGTCATTGCAAAGGGTATATATAAAGTGTATATATATATATATACATATATATTTTTATATATATATGTATATACTGTATATTATCTCAAATAATCATGATTAACTTTGATCGAACAAGAATGTTTTTGATTCTAACCATTAACTGTAACATAGCCATGGTACCAAAGTTAAAAGTTGACGAATGAAATAAAAATCACTTTTGTCTAATATTATAATTTGATGTTTTTTTAAACCCAGTTCTGGGCCACTGTTCGGTGAACTGGATTTGATCCAAGTTGATAATCACTGACCTGTCATCTTCATCACCAACATCATGTTGTGGTTGTCATCATCTCCATCCAGATCATCATCGTTGACGTAGTTGTTGCCGTCATCGTGGTCACCATCATCCTCGGGGTCGTCGACGTTGTTATCCTCATTGTGGACCTTATCATCCTCATCCCTATTCATGGTCGTCATTATCTTCATCCTGGTTCTTTCCATAATCATCATCTTCATCGTCAGCTCAAGTGCACTTGGAACAAAATGTTTACAGATGGTTTTAATTACTTGCGGTGTCACCTAAACTGACAATAATCTTAATGGTTTAATTTACATTTTAGGAGACTCAGGGGAGTACTGGGGGGTGGGGAGCCAGACCATTTGTCTAATTGGAAAGTTCACCTCTGCTGGGAAAGACAAAGCATCTTGTTACATTTATGAGACAAAAAAAATAATCAACTGTAATTCAGTTATTGTCTGTGTGCTATCAATACTGTACCAGAAACTCATTTTCTGCTCTGCAGTGCTGAGCATGCTGCTGACCACCGCCAAACATGAGCTAAACATTTACAGTGGAATAAAAAACCAATACAAACAACAAAATAAAAGGACACTCTGTTGGGGCTTTAGAAAGTGGAGTTAAAGCCAATAGAGCTGCCCTCACAATTTCTTTAAGGCACTGAAAAGTCAGCCCACGCCTAAGATTTCCAAACGAAAAGATGAGGAAAACCAACAGTGCATTTCTGCTGGCTGAAGATTCCATAAAATAACTGGAACTAACCCTTTATGAACGGAGAAGTTCACACATGAAACATCTCTAGTGTTTTAAAAGAAAGTACTTTTATCTGTAACTACTAGTGTCAGGATGTTCTGTTCTGGTGATGAGACAAATACGTTGTACATGCAGTGTTCTCATTCTAGCAGTACTAGAAAATAACAACTATAATATTGTACCAGTTTAGACTTGTTTGAGTTTGTTTTAGATGCATTAGTGGGAATACTTTCAATGTTTTCAACCAAATAAAGCCCCACAGATCAACTCAACTTCATTGAATTTCTATCTAAATCTGTATGTAACTACAGTGGTCCTCGACTTACGACGCCCTCGACCAGCGTTGTTTCATCGTTACGTCATCATCTCCTATAAATTTATTAAGAAAGTTTTGTTCAATCATTTCGAGATATGTTAAAAAAAGATTTTGAACAACAACTAGTGGGCAAGCAGAGTGGATAAATACATCGTCACCCGGTGATACGGTAGCTGCAGTACGGTAGAATCTGATCTCCTATGCTTAGAATCTCTAACAGAGAACCAATCAGCTCGCACGATCCACTTGGACATGTCACATCACCACACAATCACACACTGAAACCAATCTCACACTCTGACACACACACACACACACACACACAGAGAGAGAGAGAAGCACAAAGCTTATGAATATCTATGTTAAAAAGGATTCAATTCAAATTACTATAACTTAAACTCTATAATGCTTTGATCACAGACTACTGAATAACGACTGAATTCATAGGAGTATCTGGATTATTGAGTCTTTATGAGTCATTGGAATATTAATTGTTAGTATTGTTTACTGTCTGATAACTGAAAGTCTTCTTTTGAACAACATAACCACTAAAATAAACATCATGGAAATGGCATGACCTGTGTGATGACTGAGGTCATTTTGTCTCGCACATCTGTCATGCAAACTAATGCACATATAAAATGAACAGGCCCGGTCATAATCCCACAGGATGTGAGATCATCTTGGCAACTTATTAGTAGATAGTAAACACGGGTCTCAGCAAACAAGCAGAAACGCAGGGCTTCAACAGCACATAATGGACACAAACAATACATCAGAGCTGAGATTACATGAGCATAACCACCAGTAAACAGCAGCAATGTACATAATGGAGGCGACCCCTTCACCTCGTCTTCACATTACTGATCATGGAGTGGGTTATTTTAGCGGCAGCGGGGACAGGGATAGACACGTACGCACAAAAACAGAACTTAAAACAGACATGTGACGGCTAACGAGTGGATAACAGCAGCTTGTTGACAGGCTGCGTCCATTATTCCTTCCATCATCTGGTGTTGGCTGTTTGTGTAATTCAGTTGAAAATGGTGACAGTGTTATTTTGGACCCATGTCTTTAGTCCAGGTCTATGCACTTTGTCCAGATAAAATGAAAAATTGAAAAAAAAAAAAAAAGATTCCTATACTGCTAAGCAATAGAAGGGTCGAAGTAGCCGTTAAAATGAACAAAACAGAATCAGTAAAGCTAAAAGTAAACAAAACATTCTGTTAAATCTAATAATATAGATGTTTTTTTTATACAGCTTCCATTATTGCTTCAGTTCTTCATCTCAAATGTTTCGCAGGACTCTTGAGACATTCCTAATGAGTTCATTAAAAAATATGACATGACTGTGTAAACACAAATTCATGTTCAGCTCCACTGGCTAGGCCCAGTGCAGTCCCAAATTTAAAACTGGACAAAATTGGACGTCAGACATTGGAACGAGAGTGTTGTTTGTGATCAGACTCCAAACACAAGGATCCATAGCATGAACCTCATATTCAAGACTAGCGTCAGACTGTGCGTAAGTCACTCTCTTAGCTTAGGGCAGAGAGAGGCTGCTGGACTGGCACCACTGGGGAATTTAAATCCATTTGAAATGACAGAGAGCGACATTTCCTCGGTGTCTGCAGCTGTGAGCTGTAACTGAGTTTTTACAATTGTGGCTTATGTGTTTGTATTATTTGTTTTTTGGATGTTAAAAGCATTTAGTGTCACACTGCTCGGTCAGGTCTCTCTTGCAAAAGATATTTAAATCTAAACTAGACATTACACCTGGTTAAATAAAGGTTATTGGTTTATTGACAAGTATCAACATAAACTGTAATACTGAACTCCCCTTTACCTCTTGGTGTATTCAGACACTGACTTTGAAAAATGCCTGCATGACAACTTGGCTCCCACTGAAGTGTATAATTTGTCTTTCACATCATGCGCATTATGAGTAATGTGACATGGGTGAGAGATGTTAGTCATCCCAGTAGGATGTTCCTCCTCTGGGTAAACATGTATAAATCAACAGTGTGTGAACCAGCAACCACACAGGTTAATAGTCAGCTGTAAAACAGTGTCACAAAAATGTGAACAGAGTGTTCCTTTATCTAGTTGTGTATTCTGAGGGACGATCAAACACTGAACTAAGCCGTCAGTGTCACTGTTGACTGCAGTACCCACAGTCACACACTGTCACTTTTGTGGAACATTAAATTTAAATAAAAAACGCACAATTACATCTGCTATGACAGCATGGAAGATGATGTAACATAATGGAGATATATTTAGACCTCACCTAAAAACAATCAGGTCTATCCTAGACCTGTTTTTTTAGCTGCAGTACCTGCTAACTCCAGAGTTACACATATCATTATAAAAACTACACAACAAATGATTAAATAGGGAAAAATACATATGAAATATACATGTTAAATACAAAAAATATTTCTCTGCTGCAATTTAACAATGAAAAAATCTCGATGTCACCCAAGTCCAACTTTTCTACACCTACAGAATGCGTTCCTAAAAAAAATATTTAGCTGTTCTCCTAAATTTTAATGGAGTTCATGTGCTGCAAATAATGAATGTGGATTCTGTTCGTGTTTCTCCATCTGTTTGTCTATAAATATATTCATGACCATATGCAGTTGGAGCTGTTTGAAACAAGACTGTGTATCAAGAGAAGCCAGTGTTCTAACTCATTAAGTGTGTTTCTGCAGTTAGCTCCGAGTGTCATTTAAATCCACTGAATTTAGCCCAACAGCACTCCGAGCCATTGTTTGTTAATAATACCAATCCAAGAACCATGGAGACCCTTGAAGGCAGCTTAGCCATTGCTAATTATTTTGTCACTTGCTAGAGGGTAAATATATGAACTCACAATAATAGTAAACAGCCATCCAGATTGTTTATCTAACAATATATGTGTTAGTATAGAATTGAAAACGCTAAAACAAGTCAATGCCTTTAAGTGGGACACTTCAGAAACAGAGTATGTGTAACATAATTAATAAAAAATATCTTGAAGGTTTTGTTTGTTTAATTAAACTGTAACTATTTACTCTGTAAGGTGCAGTAAGAACACCATAAGAATGGAAGTCTGTAAGAGACCGGACTATTTCATGCTTGACTGAATGTCATTAAATAAGCTTCCTGAGACCGGCCTCCTCTTAGACAAACAGCTGTCAATAACATGTCTTTTACAGTAGAGTATTCAGCTTTTACTAATTATTTCTACTGAATTGGGTCATAGGTTTAAATATAATCGATATAGATGGATGGATGGACGATGGACAGATAGACGGATAGACAGATAGACGGAGGGACAGATAGACGGATAGAGAGATAGGCGGAGGGACAGATAGACGGATAGACAGATAGACGGAGGGACAGATAGACGAATAGACAGAGACGGACGGATGGATGGATGGACGGATAGACGGATATATAGCACGCCATGCTCTTGTTTTCCTTCAAAACAGAAAAATATGTTGTGCAAGTGGAGAGAGCGTGAATGATAATACAGGCACAAGGGCATTGAGAGCCAGGGATTGGAGGAGCAGCATCTCATCAGCGTAAAGAGGATAATTGGAGGCTGACCCTGGAACACCCATCATCCTCTGCAGCATTGTAGAAACAAAGTGACTAATGCCGTTCTGATGCGGCGAGAGCAGGCGCATCACATTCATACATATACAAAACTGTTTACCATACAAGCACGTCAATAACAACAATAATGATACATGTAAATGTGCATGTGTTCCGTCAGTTTAAATTAAATGTGTCCAATTTTACGCTTAAAGTGCAGATATCAACTCTGATTTTCATATGTGAATAGCCATTATCTGTCTATAGTACATAAAGGGGGTCGGGGGGGGTTATATAAGCATTATAAAATGCTGTTATATTGTGTAATCGGATTTTCGAATTCTCATCATGGGTGAAAAAAACTCCGGCTGGACTTCAGTAGCTGCCATTAAAGTACTAATAATGACTTTGCTTATTACAAACCAGATCAAGTGCTGATTAAATGGTAGTAACAGTATGTTAGCCTTCCAATTTAATCCCTGACCGACTTGACAGCGTATCTAAGCTAAGATCTAAGCACTCAGTCAAGTCCATTGGTGTCAGAAATAGAAAAGAAAAAAAGAAAAAAATCACAGAGCGATGGACATGAAAGTGTGTCCAGTAGCCACAAATAAAGCTTAACGTAAGCTTAAATGAATCTTAATGGACAGGAAGACAAATTATCTGTGCACAGTTTCAACCTTAACAAAATAAAAAACATTGTTATTCTTATTGGCCAGGGCACACTTGCATGTAATCTGAGATAAAGTGGTCTTCGTATGAATATATTTTAATCTAATTCTAAAACCCAAAAAGGATTAAAGTCCATTCATGCTGAAAATTAGTTGTTACTTAGCAAAATCGACAGGATTCTTTATGTTGGTGTATGATTGGTGGGAAATGGTACCAGGGGAAAGTGTTTCTAAGCAGCATGAGGATGTCCTTAAAATGCCCTTTGTCTATGTAAAATATTCAATTTCTCTGACAGGTCAGACAACTATTCATTATTTACTGAAATGTTGTCTTTCTTTGTGTGACGTAACAGTCAGAAAAAAATCTTCCACTTGGTGGCATCAGAAAGCTATAAAAACTAAATAAGAGAAACTCAAAATTATTAAAGAAGATGTGTTGGGTGTGAAAATAGCTTAAATGGCCCTTTCCATTTTTAAAGCAAAAGTCTTGTGTCAACACAAATTCTACTGAAGTACAGTTTACCTGGAAGACAACCTTGTGACTGGTCAAAAGGAGAAGGAGACACTCTGAATGTCATTCTGAGTATCATAAATCACAATAATGGCTTTATTTATTTAAATCTGCCATTTTCTACTTTCAAAATCATTATTTTAGTGAGCGGCTCCCCAGATTCACTCATCTTTCTTAGACTGCAGAGCCAAAGAATGTAAAACGGTGAAAAAGTTTGGTGGCATATCTGACACCTCCAGTTTAGCCTTCTGGCAGAAGAAGGGTGGGTGGTAATCCATGGGGTTCACATTACCCAGGACCCAGTTGTAGGTGCTGAAATATATAAAGAAATTTTACATCTTATATTTATAATTATATGTATTTACATAAGAAAAAGTAAGATATAGTAAAGAATTAAACAAAAAACGTTAACCTGAATGCCAAGCTACTGCAGTTATTTCAGTATATAAAGATAGAACTAAACCAGAAGGAGGCAGTGAGAGCATAAATAAATAAAAAAAACAACTAATTATATATTAAATGAAAAAAAAAAGAAATAAACTGAGGTAAATAATTTGGATTGTCACTTCTAGTGCAAAGTGTCTGTTATCCTTAACCTGGTCTGAACTCCTGACTGTTGTTTGTCATTACTTTACAAATGTTCCAGTCTAAACTGCTACTAACCGCTAAAGAGCTTTTCCTTATACAATAAAAAAATCAAACTCTTTACGTTAGTCGTGTTAAAGTTGGTACACGATTCTCTGTGTGTCTTGAGCTGTGCTGCTGTTTTACCTTAAGGTGATCCATCCAGTTTGAGGATAGTGGACACTGTAGGTCATTGGGATACAGCCAATCTCGGAAAAGACTGTTGAATATGAACCTGAAGAACAGAAAACAGTGAACTTTTTAAAAAAAATATATGTATTTTCCTTCCGTAAAGTGAGATTATAACTAATTAGCTTTCAGACAGTTGTCATAAAGTAAAAATACGGGGTAAGCTTTGATTGGCGAATTTAATGCATTGGTATAAAGGTATATCATAATGTACAATACATTGGCTCCCTCTAGTGGCACACAGAGATAGAGGGTTCCCGTTAATAAAAAGTGAGTCACGTGATCGTAAAATAAAGACTGTATATTCTTGCTTGCTCTCTGTGTGTGTTTGGGTGCGAGTTTGTTTCAGAACAAACAAACAAACGAACAAACAAATTCAATTTAAATTAAAATAAGGCTCCAAATTATGTTAGGGTTAGCAATAAACGGATGTTGTATGTGGTTCTTAGCTAGACTGGCTGGTGTATTGTAACATTGAACATACTGATGGTAGTGGACAGTCCACACTAATAAATGATCTTTCATCTCACCGTTGTTTGGCAGCGTTCCATACCAGGTGTTGACTAGAACACCCATTCCCCAGGAGGAGGATGAGCCCATGATCACTTGACCCATCAGTCTGGCGTCCTCAGGGACATGCATGGGAATGAAGGAGGAATCCAGCTGCTTCTTCTTGCAGGATATGGTCTTCCAGTTGATCTCATAGTAGGCTTCCTGACAACATGACAAAGGACATGACAGTTCATTCTTATATATATGTATATACAGTACACACACACACATATATATATACTGTAATGATATATATATATATTTACAGTATGTTGTTTGTGATTTAGTAGCAACATGTTATATAACAAAAGAGAGCCAGAGGTTTTGCTCAATACCTCATTGAAAAGCATCAGCTCATCTATTCCAGTGCTCTGATTGCCAACCATCACATTATTTCTAACCCGCATCCTCTTTCCAAAAGCATCAGAGCTTATTGAACCAGTCGACAGGTAGACTCCATTACCAGCCATCTGAAAAAGAAATTACAGAAAATAAAAGTGAGGTTGAGTCCTCTGTAGATTATGTCGATCAACATGTTTGCTGATGAAGTACTCACCAAAGTGAACTGACCGCTCATCAGAGGTGGAGAAACTGGGGGGGGGAGGGTAATAATTATAATAATTAAGCCAAGCAGTTTATTGTCTATGAATGCATTCAAAAAGGGTTTTAATAACCCATGTGGGCCACATGTTGTTAACGGCTGCACTCTATTCACATTTGGGTCTATACAGGCCCTGTAGAAACTGTCAACTCAATCTCCTCTGAAATTCACTTCAATTCCACTTTCACATATTTAAACATGAACTTTTGTGTGTAGGTGTGTGTGTGTGTGTGAGGTGAAGTCAGTGTTCTTCTGTACTCACCACAGTGTTTGGGTGCCTGGGTGGAAGCTGCTGCCAGCAGCACACTGACGCAGGTTAACACACCGAGGAAGTTCATGGCGACAGCTTTAGGAGTTCAATGAGAAGAAGCCCGGAGCGCTCTGATGTCAGAGTGACCACGGCTCAATATATACCTGTTCACAGATGGCCACATTCACACCATCATCACATGATCTCACGCCCTTGACCTTTTTTCTACTTTACTACTTTACTCCTTAGTCGTGTGGAAAAAACGGCAAAATAATTAAAGGCCATTTTAGGACCAATGATAAGATTTCTGCCCACATCACATCTTTTTTTTTTGTTTTAACAGATCATATGCAGATCATTTCAACTACCCTCAATCTGTGTTTTTACTGGTATACCTTTTTACTTATTTTTGCATTTTATTTTAGTGGTAATACACAGAGCAGGATGCAGTATCCTGCTGAGCAGCAGGTAAATAAATAGTTTCCATGAAAGACATTGTCAACAACACTCCTGCAGTTCATCAGACCAGGTCTCACATTGCTTTGTGGTCGTGTTCTGATGCACATATCCATTCTCTGTACTTTTGATGGTGGACACGAGTGAGCTTTGGCTCTGATTGGTCTGTTGTTTGATTGCAGGAGCCTTGAACTTTTATCAGCATGAAAAAACAAACCATTTGAACAAATAGAACATTTGCTGCAGAGAAATAACCACACTGAACAAATATGTCTAAAACAGCCAACGCAGTTACCCTGAACCTTAAAAAAAAAAAAAAACATTTGGATGGAAACACTTTAGTAGGACACAACATATTTGTCATGTTTATTATTTAATATTCATGTTACATTAGCATCTTTTTTCCTTTTGATTCCAATGGCGTTTTAATTTTGGCAATTAATCAGCAAACATCACCCAAGCAAAAGTACTTGAAATTGTTCAGTGCAAAACTGCTAAAATAAAGTTAATTAAAAACAAATATTCCACAGCCACAGGTTCAAAACAAAAATGTGACCTTTTAAAAGTCAGTAGTTAACATAAATAAATAAAATTAGATGCAAATCTAGGGACCATCCATTAAAACAGAATGGATTTTTAGAGACTACTCTTGTTATTGATTCCATAGTTTTCAGCAAAACCTCAATTTACAGACTTTCACTTTATATACATATAAACATTATTTATATTATAACTTGTTACAGTTTCTACATTAGGTCCATAGTCATTGTTTATGAACAAATGAGGTGCATTTCAGTCCAGTTGCTTCTGTTCATCCATGTTTGGTGTGTTCATGATTTGAGGGATTTTTCTTATTGTTATTTTTACTGCTGACTTTGAACAGTTTATCACAGAGATGGACAAAAACACAGTGCTGTCTCTACAATCACACACAAAACCTTAAGCACACAGATACCATTCATCAAAAGTATCACACTCACTCCACAAAGTCATTCCCAGGAGTGAATCCATCTCTGTTCTTATAATATTATATTATATATATATATATATATAATATTAAATTCAAACTGGACTGTTTTCTCTCCTTCGGTCTCTACTTAAAGAAGCCTTCGACATGTTTGAATGCAGCAGGAACCATAATTAAATCATAATGAAAATTAACTGCAATTTTCTATAATACTGAAACATCATCAGGAATGTAAAAAAAAAAAAAAAAAAAGAAATGACCAAAAGTGGGGGCTGACATTAAAAAGAAAAAAACAAACAAAAAAACAATCAAAACAGTCAGGACTGACACTGGCAACAATCTTGACCTCTGACCTCTGACAGTGGTAAATATAAGCTAGGCATTGTATCATTTTCTTTCACAATTATTGAACAGTTAGAGCAAAGTAACTAAGGCAGGGATTCCCACAGTGTGGCAGAGGTGCGCGAGCTGCCACTAGGGGGTGCGTGAGATAAAACATTTGATGGCCGTTTAAAGTATTCTTTCCCCTGTGGGATTTGTCCACAAAATAAAGACATATAAATAATAATCTCCTGAAAAAAACAAAAACAAATCAAAAGCTGACATTTTGATTTAGAAATGGTTACGTGCTCTGGTCATTTGAGCACGATTAAACATGCTGCCTTAAAAAGAAGGCTTGTTGTGGGTTTTTTTTTGTTTGTTTTTTGTTTTGTTTTTTTTCCGAAGGTGTGGGGAATTGGGGGTGCGTCAACTCAGTTGGAATATAAAAGGGGGTGGGCGGCCAAAATAAGTTTGGGAACCGCTGTACTAAGGGATGTCCATGTTGCATTGTGCTGGTAATAACATTAAAGCTATTTACACAGGTGAAAACAGTGTAGAAAACAGTGCTGTCAGGCTTCCTCTCTGTTGTTTTCTGAGTTGACAATTAGCTCCACTTCACACTTCAGACTCAATGTTCAATCATTTGTTTTTTTTGTTTTTTATCTCAACAACAGAGCTGTAGGTTTAAAATGACTTAAGATGGTTTTCAATATCTACACTAAACCCACCACCTTACTATTTTTGAATTTATCTTTTCAGTGTGAGTAAGACATTTTTAAAACACAACAAACAAAGTGTACAAACAGGCATAGCAACAAATCACAGGATCATGTAATGAACCAAAACATTAAAGGTTACTGTAAACGGTACCAATAAGAACCAAGTTGTGTGCTGATATTATGCGGTAAATTAGGAGAAGACATTAAAAAAAATAGATGGTTAATAATCCTGGATGGGGTTATTGTTGGTTACAGTGATTTTGAAATTATGGACAAAACACAGCTGGGTAATAGAAAAAATACAACCAATTAAAGGCCAAGAAAACGTCTTCTGAATGCTGCTAATTTTTTATCAGTCCAATGGGATTTCAGTGTCTTAGAAGCTGCAGCAGAAACTTGTGGCCTGTTTTGTTAATGAACCTAAACGTTACCTTTTTCCAGTTGAATCTGCTGCTACTGGCCTGTTCTGTTTTTTTTTTAGCTGTCAGAGACTTCAGATCCACTGGTGAGTATCCTACGATGTCTCACAGACTTTCCCTCCTGATGAATGAAAACAAAGAATGTAAAGATAATAATTATTTTATTTTCAAAAAGCTTTGATGAAGCATTGGTTACAGAGTAGGTCTCTGTAAAGTATGAACTGGAACAACACGGTCCACGTGACTGTGAAATTTTACAGGTCAAGGTATTCCAGTAAATGCATTGAAAGTTTGCCATTTTTTATTCTTTTGATCACAGTATGCAGAAAATGTGTTGCATAGACACAAAGGGAACAATAATCACTGAGCAACAAAACAGCAGCATACTGCAGATACTCTGAAATATGCTGCTTTTTGAAACCCCAGCATATCTGTTCACCCAGGATGACCATTGAGTGTGCATGCTAGCAGTTTACCAAAAACACAGCCAACAAATTGTGGGAACCTTGACATACTGTAGGTGCTTATGTACAGCATGTGACTTCAACTTTATTATACTAACGACAAATGTTTTCTTGTTTGTGTGATGCCTTACAGTCTGGAAGACTCCGTTTTGTTCCCACTCTCCAGGTGAGTGGTCCTCTTCTTCCTCCCCTTCCTCCTCCCTCACTGTGTCCATCCCATCTTCCTCGTACTCTGTCAGACAGTCCGACTCCTCTGCTTAAGGGAAAGATTACAAGAGTGGTTCCAAAGATAATTCGAACTTCATACATAACACATTGCACACGCTTTTCCAGATCTGTATAGCTGTTCGTCTGAAATAACAAGATGAAGCACTTGAACCATGACCCTCACCTTCAGCAGCAACATAGGTCTGGACTGGTTCTATTCTGGACACAATCTCTGCCAGGTCAGTAAAGTCCGCCCCAGGACACGTGCAGGCCTAAAGAGTAACAAATCAGTACATTTAAGAATGTAAACGTAGGAGAGGGTGGGTCAATTTTCAATTTTCTGTCCTTAAAAAAGGCCTAGAAGCTCAAGAGACAATCACAATTCCACAAAGTTTTCTGATGGGAACACTTCCTGCTAAAGAACTTTGACTATAGATATTTTGAAAAACAGCTTTGAAATTTTCATGAATCAAGACATTTTTTGTCCTTTTTAGTTTTTCACTTCCCTTTATATTTATGAATAAACAGTATAACTTATGTATGATAGAATTAGTTGCATGTGGTCTTCTCACGTCATTTATTTTACTGTCATTGTAGTCAGCTGATCGATGGTCCTTCAGCATGTTGTCGATGATGTCGCCTCGGGCCCAGCCAGTAAATAACAACTTGCCATGCTGATAGCCAACATCCTTGGGTATAAGGATAAGCAGAAATATAATTTCAAAGTGTGATAAGAGATCACTACTGCCGTGTGAAGATAAATATCTTCTGTCTGTACAGAGCACCGACCAAACTTTAAACACCAGTTCATTTACTTAGAATGCCACTCACATAGATCTCATCAAACTTTCCAAAGTCCATGGTCTTAAAACGGTCTATAGGCGGTCTGATGTACTCGCAGTACGCACTCTTCTTCACCACCTCTAGCTGCCGTACACAGGACACATAAGCCAGACGAGACTGGATCTCTGCCATGTCTGGCACCTGTCAAAGTAGACATGTCCAGAAGCAGGTTACTGGGAAACGGTGTGTATCCAGCACAGGAGAGAACTCCCTCTAATGATATTAATCAGGGGGTGTAATATTTGAGCCGTTGTGTCATCAGTCGTTAGTCATAGCCGTACTGTACCTTTACTTTCTCTGCCCAAGGATTAATCCTCTTCCACAGCAGCCACCAACCGGACAGGCAGTCGCCATAGTTACAGAGGTCAGTCTCATCCTGGCTTCCTACATCAATTGCAATGACTGTTCTGGCCCCCATGTTCCTCGCAATGTCCGCTATTTTAGAAGCAAATTTCATCAACATGTGCACAGAGAAACAAACACAACAACATACAACGGCAACGACATGGATGGCGAGAAAATAGAAGTTTCTATAGAGTTTATTAACCCATGGGAGTCTTTCACAAAAATGTCACTTTAAAAAAAAAGGTTTTGTTCATCACCACATACGAGACAGGTGAAATCAAAATAAATGTATTGCAGACTCACAGACTCCTATGGGTTAAAGAAGACGTTGGTCAAACCGACCTGCACCACGAATAACAAATCTGTAAAATTAACTGCCAATTAGAGAGAAAAGTTCTATTGTTGTAAGAGTTTATTGCCGACTTCCGTTTTGCTTTGAAAAGCCTTTTTGGACAAAAGGCATTTGTGTGGTGCACAGTCTTTTTTAACACAGAAGCAGAAGAAAACTAAAAAACATCTCAAAGGCAAAAGCACTGATCCAGCCGTTCATGAACAACAGCCTTCAAAAACACTGACTTTTATACTGACTTCAGCTGGATCAACCCTTAGTGCCAGGAAATACATAACAAAACGACATCATTGCAGGAATTATAAAAACAACTGTTCACACAAGGTTTTGTTTCACCAGTGCAATAATCATTCATAAAGGGTTTGAAGAGTTTTTGTCTGGACATCACCAACCGCTCCAAATTCTGCTATGGTTTCAATTTTCACACATTGTATTAAAAACCCAACAATAATGTTTCTGTATAAAGTTAATACTTAATTTAATCTGATAATCCCCAGACAGAAAAGTTTCACACACCCCCTGTTTTTGCTGAGTTATTAGTCTGACGTTATTATTACAAAAACAGGATATTATTTATTGTTCAGGTAAAACTGAAATAAATTATATTTAAAAATGAGCCTCATGTTGATGGTTGTTGTTCTATTTTGGTTCTTAAGAACATTTTGAAAACATACAGCGAATTGACGTATTTATTTCAATAATAAGTTTTTTTACTTCATTGCCAATGGTTGTTAAACAATAATGTCAAACTATCGCCCAGCTCCAATTTAAATCCAAAATGAGAGAAAAGCAAAATCCAATCCCAAAAAAAATTTTTTTTTTTGTTTCAACTAATTCCAGAGGAAACTGCACACTTTAATCCATGTCCTATTTGTCACTTCACTCACATTTGATTTATTAGCAGAAATGTGAGAAGTGGTGGTTGTGTATAGACGGCAATAATTGTCTTATTGTCTTTAAACCAGGGGTCTCCAACTCCCAGACTGCGGGCCACTTTTAGCTCACGAACCACCTACATGTCAGTATAATGTAATTTCACCCCCTGCTAATCGCTTTTTGCCCTTCAATAACACGGCAGGGGCAACAGTGGTCCACAGGCAATTTGAGTGTGAGACCCCTGCTTTAAATGAACACAAATATGGACAAGGACATTAAAAATAATAATAATAATAATAATAATTGTTAATAAGGGATTCTAGCAACTCTCTTAAACTAAGATGTGAACAGCTTGTAAAACATGTCTTTATTCCTTTACTCCAGCTCCCCCTCTCCTCAAGGGAAATTGGACTGGTGATAAGGACTGTGCAGTACTTGATGGGGAGTGGTGGGGAGGAAAGAGGAGGGGAGGGATACCACCTCTACTTGCCTGGCAAATTGTTGATGTAGCCACCGTCCATTAGCAAGTTTCCGTCTTTGGGGTCGCAGAGAGGCGGCAGGTACCCTGAGAGGGTCATGCTCGCCCGCACATAGCGCCACAGAGAGCCTGATGCACCAGCAAGAGGAGGGAGGGTGAGGAGGAGGAGGAGGAGGAAGGGGAATATTAGCTTAATATCATTTGAAGTTAATGTTGACAGACACAATCCCAACAGCAGAGCCAGGCTGACCACAGAATGGAAGCCATCCCCTGCAAATTCAAGGACTGTGGCTTTGTTCACCTTTTGACCACGTTGTGCACCACTGCAAACCTCATTGCCTGGCAAAGAGACTCATGTTGGAGGTAAGTAAGTGAAATGGTTACCATCACCGAGCTGTAAGGGTGTCTGAATCTCCAAACTATGTCTCAACAACAGCGTTTTGAGTTGATACTAAGCATTCTGTGAAGAAAATAAAAATCTCAAACTTAAGAGGTAAAAAATGCAAACGCAGGTGTTGAGTCAATGTTTGAAGACTCATGGACATGACAAGGAAGCGCCAAGCCTTCTCCATGATGCAGTGCATCTGCCTCTGTGCCAGCAGGTGGCAGGAGCAGGCCTGGTGCTTGCATGGGTTGGAAGGATAAAAGCACCACAGAAAAAAACCAAAGGGTGCGCCTTTGGTTTAAGTGCATGTAAATGGAAAAGAAGAAATATCCTGAAATTTGTACTCAGAAATACTACATTAAGATTCTTTAAATACAGTATTATTTTTCCTAATTAATAGGAGTTAAGGGGTAACAGTAGGATCCAAAACACTTGTGTCTAAGTACACAAAAATGTAAAACAACAGCAGACTAAACACAACTCCACAATCTTAAGGCAACAGAGCTGCAGTTCTGACCAAGCTGACACACAATGATGACAACAACTGACAACGGGTGTTGTTACAGCACATGGTGCAGTCCTTCACTAACTGTTACCACAACTGTTACAACAAACACTTGTGCAACACAGGACAGTGTCTTCATCTACATTCCCACAGGAACAGACACCAAATGCAGACTGGTTTAGCCAGGTTAGCATCACCTGTACTCCACCTGCAGATCAGTAAATGGGTTCTACATCACAAGGAAGACGACGTAGGTGAAACTGCTTGATTGGTGAATTATTTGTTCATTACTTGTCATTGTGACACAGCACACCACAGCCCACAACAACATGTGACCTCTGCATTTAACCCATCACCAAAGTGAGCAGGTTGCAGCTGAAGCACCCTGGGAGCAGTGTGTAGGGACGGTGCCATACTTAGTGCACCTCAGTGGCAACTTGGCAGCTGGTGGACTCCAACCACCAATGCCAGAGAGGAACTGTTCACAGATGGCCAGCAGTTAAATTTCACTTACTGTGTTTATTATTCTTACTTGTGTGAATAACAAACCCAGCGGTAGGAGAATAATATTTATAATCACTACTTGGTCCAATGTGAATTACTGATTGGATTATCCTCTAAGGTTTAAACTGAAATTAGATTTTCCTTCCAAACCATGGGCAACCAATGTCCACCTGGTCAAGATGGGGTTAGTTTTTTGTGAGAACTGGCGAGGGAGAGAGAGAGTAAGGGTATAGCTGGCAAGTTGACTGGAGATGAGGGAGGAAGTTCTGGTGAATGGGAGTTTACATATCTGACCTGGGACATTGTTAACATAGCAACCATCCACAAGCAAGTGGCCATCCTTGGGGTCGCACAGGGGAGGTAAATATGGGGTGTAGGAGGCACTGGCTCTAACATAACGCCAGACGCAACCTGTCGGGAGATGGAGATGAGGAAGGAAGAACAGATCAAATGTTGAATGGAATTTATGAGGAGAGAAAAAGAGAGAAAGAGCGATAGAGAGAGATAGGTAGACACAGAGGGAGGGAGATAGAGAGCGAGAGAGTTAGATAGATCGAGAGAGAGAGAGAGAGAGAGAGAGACCCAAAACATAGGACCAGCTGAAAACAGCAACACAGGGAGGAGGAATGCAGAAATCAACATGTAAAATGACTACATTATTATGCCGCGGGTTTCCAAAAGACTGAGATCAAACTCCTAACACAATAACTATAAAAATATGAAACACAAATACCAAATCAATGACGTGCATTTCTTCTAATGTATTAATTTACAATATTAAAAGCATATTAGACTGGTTAGGTGATCGGTGGAACGAGGGTGGTCGAGCAGACAGAGATAAAGAGAGAACTACAGTTAAAATAGCTAATTCTAAAACTGCAGAATGAGAACAAAACTGCAGTGTCCTAAATCATCAATCTGGTCTTCACTGGTGGAAAAAAAAAAAACACCAGACAATGCCAACCAACGACACAGTCTACCCATTATCCATTAAAAATACAACTCCTTTAAGATGGGCTAAAATACTAGTGTTAAAAAAAAAAACTACTAAAAGCACGGAATGGTGGTGAGGCCTTAGGAGAAGCAACATGGGAGTTCATTAAAAAACCAAAAAAAGAAAAAAAACTATGTGGAGTGTTTTGGATCCTACAGTACATACTATCATAGACAGAGGAGGGGGCTTGACTACTCAGGTTGTTGTGGGATAAACAGACAGCGGTGTGCAAGACTTCAAGAGTGAGAAGAGACGTGATGTCTGGCCACTTTTACACATGGACAAAATGGCAGTGAAAATGTTTAGCTTTGTCAGTTTAAGAAAATGAGGATGTTAGCAGAAGAGGGAAATGCAAGTATGACCTACTAAAAAATTAAAAAGGTTGATGACGAGCACAGTGAGAAAGGCTTTGTGACAGCAGTTAGTTTAACACATGCTAGGAAACGATCACAATCCTTGCTGTAAAAATCAATACCTTTCAAATCCAGTAGACTACAGACTTTGTGACAAAACCTTATGAGGAAATCACTCATTTTAACAACACATGCACAACTCTTTAGGTTAAAACGTTTTATCACTTTATTCTATTTAATTTATAATATCTAATTTGATTCTGTACTGGATTTGTCGAGTAGATAAATGTCAACTTGTGATGGAGCATTAACATGGCTGCTTGTAAATGCTCCATCACAAGGTGACAGAGCCACGAGTGTCTATAAAGGTTTATCTTAAAGATGGGGGATGCATATGTGACCAAGTCTTATTTTATTTATTTGTTACATCTGTATCCTCCATCCTTCAGTCACCGTAGCTCCTGCAGGGATTGCACTTGATCATATTCTGATCAGTCACAGCCTTTTTCAATGGCAGGTAATGGCTGCAGTATGAGCGTAACTTGGCAGCAGCAGCAGCTTTGGTCCTGAGAACATTTAATTACACCTTCAAACATAAATCTATAGGCCATGGAGTGTATTTATTGTTGATGATGTATTGACCCAACATTTGATATAATGTGTGGCCAAGCGAGTCTGCTCCAACATTTATAGACCTACATAAAGAATGACACCTAAATTCTGTGCAAGTTACTCTGAGCAGCTAAAACAAATTTACAACTCTGTTGATTAACAACCATAATAAATAAAATCCTTCAACATTTTGACTGAATGAAGCAAATGTCTAACTGATGTGAAAATGTCAGATTAGTTCTCTGTCAGTCAGAGGAGCACTATGGTTGAATATGTTAAATAACAGGAAGCAATACAAATACTGCATTTTCTTTTGTGCTTAACTGTATTTGTGTGTACTGTGCGTAGATGTAGAACTTCTTAACTCAACCAGAAGAGTTTTAACTTATACTGTATATAATATACTATATATAAGAATACCATAAAACTGAAGAACAGAAACAGATTGGGCTGGAAACCCTACTGTCACTCACCATCCTGATGGACACGCATGGCTGAAGCTGTGATGTCAGTGGTGACGTTGAAGTACGGCAGCCATAGATCCTGGCAAAAAAAAAATTATTTCAATTTTATACTTTTTCACTTTTTGTCTCTTTGCTGTGAAATCCCTGTCTCTCACCTCTGCTTGCTTGTCCTGAAACACTTTATGAATGCTGGCATTGAAGGCGGAGCCAGAGAACATGGAGGTGATGGGATAGGTCAGGTCCAAGACTGTTTTAAAAACTGAGTTCATTCCCTAATGAGAAAAGAGACATGGATGAAGCCACAAGACTGTTTTTGTTCTTAGAACAATAATCATTAGGGATGCATCGGATGAATAGCGGTTAACAAGGTGATGGTTAACTGCCATTGGGAAATAAAGATGACAATTAAAATAAATGTGTCTAATTGAATTGTGCTCATTCAATAAATAAAGAAGTATGTTGTACCTTTGACCATTCTTTGGATCTTTGTTTGGTTCGGACCGCACTTCTCTCCTCCGCATACAAAGCACCAATGAATGAGCCAATGGAGGTTCCACCCACTATGTCAATAGGAATCCCTGCTTCCTCCATTGCTTTGATCACGCCTACATGAGAGCACCCTCTGCATGATGAAAAAAGAACTGCATTAGATACTGTACTACACAAGCAAGGTTTCGACAGTAGATCAGTTCATCACATTTGAATATTATACTTTAACTTGTTTTCTTTATGTGAAAAAAATATAAAGTCAATAAGTAATTGTTTCCAATAATCCTGATTTCAATATTGACCAACAAATTGCGATTGTGACTTTTTCATAATTGTGCAGTCCAAATAACAACAGTCTAAAACAGTTGGTTTAGAGAATGGTGATAAACTCACCGCGCTCCACCTCCTCCCAGCACCAGTGCGATACTATTTCCTGTCAGGACTCGGGCCAGCCGAGAGAAATCGCTGTGTCTGTCTGCTGTTTTCTCAAACACCTTCTCGTAGACATCTCTCTTAGAAATCACACAATAAAAGAAATCAGGGTACAGTTCTTATTTCAAGTCCCACTGATCAGAAAATCAGTTTGGTTTGTACCAGTTTGTTTGGACTACGTCTGGAGAAAACTCTTCGAGGACACTTGAGGTGAAGATGTCCCGAGCACCAGCTTCTCATGTTGAGCCACTCAACAGTCCTCGAGGGACCAGGTCCGTCCTCTCTATGTAGAAGGATCAGCTGCTTCAGAGCACGAACTGCTGTATTCTCCAGCATCTGCTCCAACTGGTGCAGAAAATAGAAGACAGATAAGAGACAAAGTCATTGAACTTTTGTATAAATGGTAGTTTTAAAGATTCAATTTATGTTCTCTTTGAATTGATAATGGGGCAAAACTAAATTAAAATTATACATCTTAGTTAACTAACCACAAAGACTACTAAGAACACATTAGATTTTATTAAATAACTGCAAGGCAAGGCATATGTTGTGTCATATGTAACTGTGATGTGACAGTTGAACTTCTAGCTTTTGTCTTTGAGCTTCTCAGCCTGTTGGTTTCACTTCTTATGCTTCTTCTACGAACCACATAGACCGCCGTGGTGAAAGTGTTGGCTCTAGATTGAAATTTATAATATCTTTCAAATTGCTGTGCTCAGCTGCAGCCATGAAGTTTAAAGGTATAAGAACTAAGGAGCAAAAAGATGAAATTGTCTAAATCTAAAGCAGATGCTGACAGCCTTAAAGACATCACAGATCCTACATCTCTCCTCTTCCCCTAATGCAAAAGCAGACCCACACACACCTCTCCAAGGGTCGGTTCCTGGTCCCCAAGGCCGACAATGAGGATGCAGTCAGCCTGGCGAATGCATCGCTGAGTCCATGGCGTCATGGTGTTGTCAGTCTGATACAGGACGATACGATTGATATCCTCCTGTTGGGCCAGCCAGCCACACAGACGGTATTCACTATTACTGATGGACATAGACCACATCAGACACAAAGTCATTAAGCAGCATTTTCATTTACTCCCTATTCACTTATAGTGACTGAGAAACAAGTAGAACTAACAGAATAGATCAGGGATGTCAAACTCAATACCACAATGGGCTGAATATTAAAACACAGTGGTTGGGGACCAAACAGAATTAACAATTGAAGTTAAAAAAAATTGCTATGCATATATGCAGAATTTTCAACCATTGTATTTAACCAATCCAGAACATTCGAATGGACTATTATTTTTATTTACAACAGCCACATGAACGTTGGGGCTGCATGAAATAAGGTGGCAAGCCCAGTTCTGCCTAGAGGCGTTGAGTTTGGCATTTTTTGACTAGATGGAAGTGATTATTACAAACCACCTTTATATATTCTGACCTTTAAGTTAAGTCTTAATAACAGCTGACAACACTGACCTGTCCAAAGCAGATGCTCCCAAACGCTCTCTTATGATGTCACTGGTCAACAGCAGAGTGGGACCTGCACAGGTACAACAGTTGGAGGAGACACATGAATGTGTGTATAAATGAAAACATAATCAAACACAAACACGTGGGTAAGAAGGTGACAAAATCAAAAGGCCTTGTCAACAAAATACTGTAGGTCTAGTACCGATGGCACTGAGGGCATGACTGAGCTCCATGTTGAAGGCATTCATTGGCACCTCATCACATACAGGAAGCACAGCTACAGTAGAGAGGTTGCTAGCTGGGTTGCTCACATCTGCACCTGTTTTCATACTGGGCAGACTCAGGGCTGAGCCTAGAAAACAGACAAACAGTGGTGGAAAAATAAATCTTGTGAATTAGTGGTGTACCTTTTATTTATTTTTTACTCAGATGACTCAACACCCATCAAAAAAGTGTCAATTTCCAAAAATGAAATAAAGTTATAGAAACACTTTTATAATGACAAAAGAAAAACAAACAAATTGCACATTATGAAAGCAGTAGGCAACAGTAGGAAAACAGACACCACCAGAAAATGAATGGGATTAGATTTTACGAGTGGCCAAACTTGTACACTTGGTTCATGTCAGATGGTGAAGTTGTCTCCCACCTGAGAAAGGCCCGCGTCCCTGCTGCAGGTTTCCAAGAATTTTCTGCCCTAACAAGTGGATCAACCTGGTCACCACCTAAATTAACAAAAATAAAAGAAAATGTTAACTGTATTATCTTCTTCACAACAGTTACTTTTCATTGACAGAGTCACCAACCTGAGGGTATCGTCTTTTGATGTTACTCAATGTTCCTTCGGGCATTTTGACCAGCTCTGTGTCTCTCACAGCATGGACAGTGGTGGCTCTTGGCTGTTTGGTCAAAGCCTCAACCTAGAGCATAGATAAAAGGATCAATGGGTCGGGTTATTTTCCAAACACAAATGAATTAACAAATTAACAAAGTGTTTTGTAACATTTAAAGCACTGTTTAAGAAAGTGTTTTTTCAGGCTTCATTAAAAATAAAACAGGGCTTGTTTGCAAAGTTCTAGGAATGAAACTAAAACCAGGAAACCAGGTTTAAAACAAGGAAATGGAGGACAACTTTTTCTTACCACACCAATAAGATCTCCTCTGCCATATTCCCCAACAAGTTCTTTCTTGCCATTAGCTTTGCGGATGACTGAACGCAGTCGTCCATTCAAAACAATATAGGTGCAATCTGATTGGTCGTCCTGTCTGGTGAAAATAAATCACTGATAACATAACGATAACTGCACAAGTACTGAAAAATACCACAGAAATGAGTCTTTACTGCAGTACAGTGATGATTGGATTTTACATATGGACTCACAAATCTAAACTAGCAAACCCTGCATACCTGTACAGAGCTCTACCAGCCTCCACAGCCATCCAGTCAATAGCAAAGTCCATCTGCCTGACAAAAGGAGACATGCGTATGGCCACAGTGTGGGCCACACTCAGTACCACATTAGGCTGCTCTCGCATTATCCTGAAAAAAGAAACACAGACATGGGCAGCCCAAATATTAATCCCCATTTATTCAAGATCAGTCATCGAAAAGAGCAGAAGTCACAACAGCAGCCGAGCTACAATGATTTTTTAAATTTTTTCTGCTGATAAAAAGTGTCAAAGTCAAACTGAATTTAGAACTTGATGACACCTATACTGTACCTCTTTACTTAGATAACTTCATGCAACCAATATAGAGTGAATCCCTGACACAATCTGCATGTTGCACGAAACAATTTCACTAAACAAAACTGCCTTTTATTACACATCTGACATTAAAAGAAATATGCTTGAAAGGATGGTCTTACTCGTAGAAATCCGACTTGGAGATTTTGAGGAAAGTGCAGTCACGGACTGCCTTGATGGTAAAGATAAGGGGCTCCCCTGTGAGTACAGCGAGTTGGCCCACCATCTCCCCAGCGTGGGTCACAAACAGGCAGACAGCTTCTTGTTTGCTTACCATTCGCTGGTAGGCATGAAGACAACCAGACAGAACAAAGTGTAGGCTCACATCCTAATGAACAAAAGATACATTTGGTAAATTTTCATAATTTTTTTTCATAAAAATAAAAGCAGGCATTTTTCAATAAAAAGCTACCTGGGTTTAAAGTAACTAATAATCCAAGTTAAAACTACCTGGTCTCCTTGTTTAGCCAAGATGGCGCCAGCTTTTGCATGGTGCAGAGTCACCCTCCCATTTAGCAAAGATGGATCCTTAGTGAAAAAGGAAAATGTTTACAGGCAAAAGGTTAAAAAAAAGTCTGTTCAGTGATGTAGTCACTTAAGTTAATTTTTCGGAAACATGCCATGCCTTGAAAGAAGTAAACACTGGAAACAACAAACATTCCATCAACTGCATGATTTTTAATTGTCCTATTAAAACCCTAATCAGGAGGTAGAAATATGTGAATAAGTAACAAGATAAGCTGTTAATTGTTAACAACTGATGTGAGGTCAGTCAGCTCAGAGAATATTTGAGGACCGACCTCAATCCTCATGAGTTTAAGGATGTCCTTCAGAGCTTCTTCAAACACAGCAGCGTTGGATCGACTGGTTACAGGTGTAAAAATACTGTCAACTCCTATCTCTTCTTCTGGGTACAGGTAGATCCCTGAGGGAATTTCATCTACTGTCACCTTCCTCTCCCTCTGCTCCTGGGACACAGACTGTAATGTACAGGAGAGATAATGACATTTTATCTGCTTCTGATTTTTAATTCTGATGTTTGTTTATTTCATACTTGAATTCTGAATGACTGTATATCAGCAAACACTTTCAGTTTAAATCAAAAGACCAAGTTCAGAAAGCATCAAATTAATCTTATCTTTTATATGATGTACTGACCCGGGTGAAGGTGGGAGGAGTGCTGCCCTCCTCTGCGGAGACGGAAATCCGTCCTCTTTCATATGCCATGTCAAAGTCTGACCTCAGGCCTTTTTGTATACCTGCCCAAACAACAGTGAACTGGGTTTGCTTAAAACTGACCATGTTACAAAGAGACTGCAACTGTCAAAAGTTGTCCTACTTAATAAAACAATTAATAAGTAATTAAATACTATATACATACATACTATACTATATTACATATATAGAACATATTTCAGCATTAGACGAGCTAGGCTCTCTGCTTGCTTGTCAATGAAGGTGACGTTCCTCACCAGCAATATCCACTGGCATGGAGATAGTCCTGTTTAGAGTTGGCAGAATAGCTTCATCTTTTCCTTGTTCACCTCCTAAGAAGAAATAAATTGCACAACATTCAGTAGATAATATTACTACAAACTACCAAAGTGATATTTTAATAAATTAGAACAAATATATTTGATTGTCCTAGGAGAGTCTGTTCTGGGGTTTTTTTGGTTTTTTAAATCTGTACCTTCACCCTTTAAAGCAGCTTCTCGATGCTCCTCTGGCACTGTGAGGCTTCCAAAGCGCTTGCCATGGCGAATGGGACTGGTGCGAGTCGGGTGGGGTGACACAGGTGGTAACCTTGCGGGCTGCATTTCCTTTTCCACCAAAAGAGAATTGCATGGAATGTAAGCAGTGAAAACATTGCTTTGTGTGTGTTTTATTTAGTCTCTAGTGGGTTTATAGCACTTTGGAGCAGGACTCAAACAGCACTCTGCAAAGGTTTTAGGCAGGTCTAAACAGAACCTACATTTGAGGTTGTGTCTTGTTAAATTGTTTTGAATTGCCTATTGTTTTAGTAGTAGTTTTATGTTTAGGATTATTATTGATAAAATCAAGAAATTCAAGGTGGTGACCGCTGGGATTGGCTACAGATGCACAGATGGATCAATGCACTTAAAAAATCTGAAAAAAAAAAATCCAAATACTTTCTTACCTAAAATACCTGCAGAGTACTGAATTATCCTCAGATCCTGATTAATGCCACATAACCCACATATGTTTATGTTTGCAAAACTCACATGGCTGAAGAGCTCATTAGTGAGACCTAGATAGTTGTGCAGCGCTAAAACAGTCACTCTTTGTAGACGGACCATAATAATCTGTAGACCCAGAGCAGAGGTAGTGTATTAAATACACCTTAAAACAAACATAAACTACTGCAAATGTATGAAAACAATGTTCATTTTTGAAACACATGAGGCAAAGAAAAAAGAAAAGAAACCAAAGCGTCTCACCTGTACAACTCGCACGAGGCTCTCAGGGTATTTCTCAAATATAGATGGGAAGTCTTCAACTGGTAATCGTATAACTGCTGACACCTCTGCTGCCCGTGCTGACACTGTTTTGTAGGGTCTCTGGTGGCCCTGCACATCAATAGTTTTATGTACATGAAAATGTGCAGGAGAAAAAAGCCGTTATCTCGATTATTTTATTTACATGTAAACAAGGCCTTTGTAGCCATGTTGATACAAAAGAGGTCACAGGTCATCTCGGTGTGGGTGGTGTGATAAAAGGCTTTGTGGCAGAGGGTAGTAGAGCCTAACAGCTATTAAATATCCAGTAATAGAATTTATGGAGTAAAGCCTCAACTACAAAAATCAAGGTGTAAGCAGCAGGAAGACAGGATGACCTACAGTGATAACGTCCAGGATACTGAGCAGGCTGTGGACACTGTCGCCAGGAAAAACCTCCTTGACCACACTTTCTTTGCCATCCTAAAACACAGAAAAAGGAGTGAACACACTAGCCAATTAGTGTGAGATAAACATAAACTCCATTTTCAAATACACTGAGTGTTTTATTAAAACTTCATAAAAAATCTGATAATTACATGCATTTTAAAGTGCACCGTTCCACTTCCAGATTTACGTACCGTTCCAGTAAGGCACAGCTCCAGTTTTCCATCCTGCACCACGTAGATGCTGTTGTCAGGCTGACCTGGCCTGAAAACATACTCCCCTTGTTGGTACTGCTGAAACACCATGTGTTGACACAGCTCCAGGAAAAGGGACTTCTGAAAGTGACCCAGCACACTGCCATGAAGGACAAATGACAGAGGGCGACAGGTACGTGCATTAGTGACAGATTCAAATACAATCGTCATAAGTGAAAAGATACAAAAGCACATTCATATGAAATCAGGCCTCAACAATCAATTATTCAGATAATTGCAGTCAGTGTTAGTAAGCAGTAACACAGAGTGAACACACACATGATCACAAGAACTAAATGACTCAAGAGTCCGTGTCAGTTCCGTTGAACCTACCGGACGTTTTTAAGCATGTAAAGAACTTCTGATGGGAGGTGGGAAGTAGCAACATCAAATTCTGTGAGGTCTGCTTCCAGCACTGAGGGTGGGGGCTCCTTGGCCTGAAGGATGGGCACCTCCTTTGTGAATCGCAGGATCCTAAACAGTGAGAAAGTGAGATCGTGGGATGTTATGACCACCAGTAGCTGATGACTGTGCGTCAGTAAGTTTTACAACAATGGAGTATTGCAATCTACTTTTTGGCAATGTTGAGCATCTTCTGCTTCCTCTTCAGACGTGGACGGGAGGATGTGCCAACTAGAGAAGAGGTAGACTGAGAAACCTGTTGAAAAAAAGTGTTGTAGTAATTGTTATTCTCGTACTTGTTTATGTCTGTTTAAGATGAACCACTTCTTTCAATCAACAGTGCTATCACAAAATACATCAGAACTTGTTCAGTGTTGATTCCCTGCAACATTTTTGAGAGACATCGAGAGACGAATCAAAATTCTTGTGATTCTTATATTTAAATGACGATGTGTTTAAAATGAGCTCCCTCTGTTTCACACACCTGCTACCAGACACCAAGATGTGTGACATTGCAAGTCACACTGTGCACGTCAATAAAACTGACAATCCTAAGGGATACACCAATGCACACACGCACCTTGCGCATGATTTTTCGGCCGTAGAACATCACTTTGTCCCTCTTGCGGAAGCGATATTTCGGAGCCTCCTGAGCTTCTCGATCTGTTGATCATTTGTCAGAAAAAATGTGACAAATTTAACCCGCTATCACTGCATGTTTTAGTAGCACATAAAATATAATCTTTAAATTCTACTGACTCCGATGCTGGATCCTCCGCAAAAAGAAGAATATGAAAATGGAGATGACTATGGCAATGGTGCCTGCACCAATTACCACTCCAACCATCTGACAAGAAAGAACAACGTGAGGAAAAGTGCTTACAGTACTAACTGACTCATTTAAGTCAAACAGTCACCATCTTAAAGTGACACAATAGCAAAATAAATGAATGAATTAAACATCGAGTAACTTTGACACACACTGACCATGCTCATCTGCATCTCCTCCTCCACAAATGTCTTGATATCGTCACAGCCGTCCTGCTATAACAGAGAAATACAGAGTATTTAATCAGTTTAATTACAATAATTATTTTTAAAAAAGTATTATTAACTGTGTTGCAACAGTAAGTGCCGGACTAATATAAGGAGTACCCAACACATTTTGTTGTGTTAACCTTCAGGTTGCACTCTGAAGACATTATTTATTGCACAGGTTGGAAAGGTGAGGATAAAATAGTAGAGTGTTTAATCATACATTTATAATGACTTGATTTGGATTTGGACATTTATTTCAACGTAGCTGTTGAAAATGTGGTAAAGGCTCTGGTACAAAACAGCACTAGCATCAATGCTGCATTTCACACACACACTGCATTTTCTTTTTACCATTTTGTTAATTTTTACAGACCAAATGCCATACAAAATTATCACCATGATACCTATTTAATATATTTATTATTAAAATGATCATGAATACTCCAGTTAACCAATGCATTTACTAACAAGAATATTTTTAAGCATTGTCCTTTTTATTTTTTAAATAGCAACAAGACTGTCAGTTAAGAAAGTATATAGATCCTGTGGCCGAGAACAGCATATTTGCATATGTGTGTGTTTGTACCTAAATAGGACTGTGTGTCTGTTAGATGTTATTGATTAGTGTGGAGGAGGTTATCAAGCAGTAAAAACTATACAAAACACACCGGGGAGATGGACAATGGGGCTGACAGATGGGAGCTTAAGCAGACTGTGTACACAAATGCACTCTTTAGATTTCAGCCTAACATCAGGGGTCTGCAATTACGTTTGGCAGTGGGCCAGACATTGTTGTAGGGACGGGTGTCACCAGGTCAAATTAACAGTGGGAAAAATTAACCGATATCTCTTTTTATTTCATTTTTTCATCACATTTGACATAATTCATTCATTGAATCATTTTGAGGAAAAACAGTGTTTTAGATTAGGCTCAGTGCAGCTGTGCATGTGTCTAAATGGGGGCAGGGTTGGTGCTGCAGGAAATGCTTGGGAATCACTGCCTTACAATGTACTGTTACACTGTCTTTGTTCTATGTCCAGCTCCACAGGACTACTCACGATGCAGATAAGTTGGAATAAACACAGTGATCAAACCCACCTCCACTGTGTTCTCCTGGACATCCTGCCCTGAGCTGCTCTGTCCCATTTCAATACCCTTCCTTCACAACGATGGTCCATGAACCGCAGCTGAAAACAGAGACAGAATTACTCAACAAAATTCTGCTTCCTTCTCCCTTATGACCTTTTTAACCTTTAACATTGGTCCTGTTACAAAACCACATTACATGATGTAATATCCTACCTTGCAATGTTACCATTACCTATAGTTGTCAAAATGACACTAGAGAAGAGAACATTGTATCTTATGTGTTGTGAATTTTGTTAACAAATTACAACAAGGCACAACCATTTTTTTATGTTCAAAAGGTGTGTGATAATTTGCATTACAAAATATGTTGCGATAAACAGGTTTACTGTAGACACACCGACCTGACGATGAACGAGCTTATCATATTTTACAGGTTATTTGACAAAAAATAAACCATCTATGTGCATGTTATTTAACTTAGAATGTTATTATGACTTAAGAGTGTTAACACATTTAGCTGTGGATGTTAACAGAAAACTTTTTTAAGTAAAGAGTAGGGATTAGGCTGTTGATTTGATGTGGTCTCTATTTTCTTAAAAAGAAAAAAAAAACATTTACTAGGAATGGGTCGATACAACTTTTTCATGTCCGATACTGCAACAGAGTATCTGCCGATATCAATATCAATATCAATCCGACACCATCTTTTCTCCTTCAGCAGGGCTGCCATTACTCAGACAACTCCGGTTTTCTGTTTACAACATGTCGTGCAAAGTTAAATTTAGCATTTGGGCATCTGGGTATTGATAGTGACATCCCTAGTTTTGTGTCAACTGTTTGGAAAAACATACTACGAATGCTGATCGGCCCATTAATCTCCATATTTGGTACTAACAGCAGCACACAACAACATCAGCTGCATCCTGCTTTAAATCTGATTCTTCACTCCGTAGATACCATTAGTGACTGGAGGAGGATGGCTGACAGAAGTGCTGCTTAGAGGAAATTCAATAAGTAACAGGCTGAGTGTCATGTTACATGGCCAAGACAGGGCAGATGAAAGAAGACAGCATGACCGCCTCTGTGGTAGTGAATGACAGCGTTTCATTGACAATTAGATGTAAAGTATCCAGTCCCTGACTTCAGTATCCTGCCAACTAGATATTGCCTTTTATATACTTTGCATTTATATGATATGTGACATGCATTGTGGTATCTTGACCACCCCACACAAGGCATTTATCTTATAAATATAGCTGGAAGCACTTCGTCTTTAGAGAAATAAAATAAAGTGGAGAAAAAAAGTGTTTTGGTTGCTCAAAATGTAGAATGTTTTCAGTGTGAAAGAACAGTAAGTAAGTAGGTGATGCGGAAAATGATTAGATGTTTTTGTTTTGTTATTGATTCATTTATTTTTGGTTTTTAATCGAAAGTTACTGAACAGCTGTATTAGGTTAGAAAATAAAAGCAATGGGCTGGGATTCTTAATTATAAAGTAATCAGTTTGGAATGATAGGACTAAAGCCGATAATGACAGCCAAAGTGTATACATTTTTACTGATGTATGATGATGTAATGCAAGATGGTTAAGAACAATGTACAAATTACTAGTTAAACATTTGTCATTTTATTGTAATGTATAATGTACTTTCTTTTCTACAAATTCTCATTGACCTCTGATCACACAGATTGCAGATTACAAGTAGTAGTTTGTAATTCTGTCAACGTAAGACAGTAGCCAACCTCCCAACAATGCTGGTGTCACTGCAGGCCTACTGCCATTGTTCTGTGTGAACAATTAGGCCAATGTTGACTCCACTGAACGGGGCTGACCAGGGCCAACTAATAACTAACACAAACATGTCCCTCTTCACCTGACACAACATATACTCCTGACTATAGGACCAAGACAGAAAAGATTTACAATTATTAAAGCATAAATGTGTTTGATCAAAGTGATCAAGCCAAGGTACAGTTGGTCAATGCAAGACATTTTTCCATGACCACTCCGCCTAATTGCCACAACAAAGTGTGCAAACACATATCAGAAATGAAATGTGTGATTAACTCTACCATCAATATCTGGAGCTCTGATGTGTTCCCTATGAAACTTTCCTCACTTTGATTTGATCCATTTCAATTTGCACCATTCTTTTGGTAAGAGACAAATTTGCTTCAAAAATTCCAACCCTGTCCAGCTGCCTATTTCTGAACCTCCATATGAGTAACTTTAGTTGTGCTCAACACTTATTTTATATATGCAAAACAAACATTTGCAGCAACTCTGTCACAACAATATCTGTATGTCTTCATTTTTGCAAATTCACTACATTCACTACACTCATGTGCACAGTGATGACTAGGCAAACCACATAACCACAACATGTGAATAGCAAACACTGTCCCGAACGATCAATCGATTTATGACCATTTAGATTTATTAAACAATTCTGTGCAATTGCACAGGATAATTGCACAGAATTGTTTTAAATGATGCAAGGTGCATTTTTTTCATTATCAGACTTTTGTTCTGATTACTTACATATTAGTTAAACTAGAGTGAAGCATGAATAAATCAGAGACCTACAATTTAGGTGACCTAGATGAGCACAATACCAAGGCAGGGCCAGACAAATTTAGGACCACAGCACTACACTAAAAACCTACCAAGGACAGGAGAACCCTCGGAAGATTCTTTCAAATATTTTCTTAAAACATTTTTCCCATCTTTGGTGTTGCACAGCAGTTCATCTCAACCAAAACAGAAAGCTGGACCAGACAGCATGTTGGTGTAATATTACTGCTAATGTATTTCTGTTGGTGGTTTGTTATCTGTAGTAGTTGAAACTAATAGCTTTGCCTACTCCTTTGAACATAACTAGTTATAAAATAACTTTGATCTTTAAATAGTTTGTTCTTTTTCTTTTGTGAGGTTTTTGTATTTATAGGGAACATTCTTTCTCGTTTAACTATTTTTCCTTTGATTTGTTACCCATTTGTGAAATGATATTGTTTCATATGAATCCTGATTCTCTAATTATGTAATTAATCATTTCACCAAAGTAACAATTATTTAATTTAGTTGTCATGATATTATGACCACTGTCAGGGTGGTGAATAACACTGCATGCCCCTTTACTGTGGCATATTCCAAGAGGTAAACTGTATGCTAGGCAGCAGGTGAACATCTTACTGTCAAAGTCTATGTGAGAAGCAGGAAAAGTTCAACAATATTGTAATGGCTACACGCCTGGGTCAGAGAATTTCCAAAACTTGTGGGGTGTATCTATCAAAAGTGGTCAAATGGGTCAGGGTCCAAGGCTCAGACTGGCCCATGATGTCTGATTAAACAGAAGAGGTGCTGCAGCTTAAATTGCTTAAGATGCTTGAGGTATTGATATATGAACCAGTGGGCATTTAGGACCACTCACATGGGTGACACTACAGTTGGTCAAGTTAGTCTCTGGGGGAGGGGGCAGGGTGGGCACAGTGATTTTAAAGGACAAATAAAGAATGTAAAATCTTGACATCACAATCTATTGGAAAGATTCCACATTACAATGATGTGGAAGCTGTCCGCCCAAGGCTTGGTTCAGCAATGCAAATCATTCACTTGGATCTCAATTCACACTAACACAACAAATGTTCTAATGCTTGTCATGACAGGCAAAGCAGTCTGGTTAATGGGGCTACATTTTTTCCTTGATTAAATAGGTGTGGAATAATCAAATTCTTACTCTTGCAGAAATCATGTCCACATAAGTGCCACCTTTTTTCTGAGAAAACATTTTCAATGATGAGGTGGCGATATCACTCACAGAGAACATTTGACTTGTCTTTATTAGGGTTGATGTCTCAACCCTAATAAAGTTTTACTTCCATTCAGAATCATGACTCATCATGACAAACAAGAAATTAGAGATAACTGACCTCACCCACTTTGTCGGACAGTTAGTATTGCAGTGAAAGGGAGAACATATAAACAAATACATACACACACGTCACAGGGTGGTCCTAATACATCACCCTTCTACTGTTGGGGGAGTGGTCGGAGTCCAATAAATCTGAATAACACCCTGAGTCTCTTCAGCCGATTAAAAATGTACATAAGAGATGGGACTGGGCGAGGGTACACCAACAGTATCAGCTCGTGTGTCCCACTAACCAAAATAGTTGTGCATGCTTTGCATTCGGAGGTGTCACCTTACGAACTTCTCTTTACAATAAACAACTTGTTTTTCTGTGCTGTGCTGTAAACAAACATCATTTGGCATGAAATCTTTACGAAATGTTGACGACCAACGCCACTAGAGGGTGTTGGTGAACCATTGGCTAACGTACACATGATAGACTGATATGCTATGTTAGGCCATGTGAAATTACGCAATTTAAAGTAGAATTGGGCGTTTCGACGAGTATTATAGATTTATTTAATTAAAGGTTAAACATGAAACGTCCTCAGAACATCTAGGCCAGAGGCTGCCTGGGGGACTGCCTCATTTATAAGGCAATCTGTGTTGCTTCGCCGTCACTAACGTTAGCCTCTCTTCGATGCGGCCGATGGCAGTGCAGTGAAGTCACTATTACGTCTGTGAAACTGAAACAGCTAAAAGATCTTTAGGATCGACGGGACATAGTTTCTGATGGTTTATAGTTTTATTTCTTGACCTCTACAACAGAAATGTTACCGAGCTCCACAATGACTGACAAACCGCACAGCTTCAGTTTTCAGTATCGGTTAAATCGGAAAAATAACAATACAACAACTCACAAACGGCTGAAAAATACCACACTGAAGATATATGATTATAACTACAGATAGTGTGGTTAAAAAGTCGTTTACCTGAGCTGGTGACCTCCCCTTAAGCGTCGGCGACTGTCAAAGAGCACACAACGGTCCTTGATTTTCATGATGTCCCACCTCCTCAACTTCCACCAAAGATCTAACCAATCGGCAACCGAAACTCTCCGACTGCGAGCCAATCGGATAGCCAAAGGCTACCCACTTCATGGAAGCACCAGTATAAGCCGACAATGATTGGGTTACGGTAATATCTGCTCTGTTTTTCAGCCTGAAAAACAAAAAACAGAAAATGGAAAATTTTATTATTAGTTCAATCATGACTTTAATTTGAATTTTTATTTTTAAGAATTTAATTCATTTTTATTACCAAAAATAATATTCAAGTAAATAAAAAATAAAGTAAATGAATTGCAAAGATTCAGCCAACGAAATATATCTTGCTTATTTCATGTGACTACTGCACTCTCCGTTTTTGGTTAAAAATATATAATACTGAGGGTTTTAATTTAGCTCGTGGCTAATAACTTTTATTCCAGGGACTCAAAGTTGTGCCTCAATGAGTACGAAGTCTAAACTAAATAATAAGACAGTTCAACGTTACTTTTGCCGGGTGAGATAATTATATCAGCAACTGTTTACCACAAGCCCATGCTTTGTTTGGGTGAAAAGCTGCTAATTTAATCAGTATGACCAGGGAGGACTACATTTACACATAGGCTTTAAGAATTTTCTTTTTTAAACTTATGTGGGAATAAATAAGCGGAAAAAACAAACCTTGCTTGCAGTAAATATTGAATATTGTGTTGAGTGACTTCCTCGTTGGAATAAAACTGTAAACATTACCCCCTTCTGGTCGTAACCTGAAAAGTCCCAAAAACACTGTCGAGCATACTCAGTATATCAGATTTTAAATATTTATTGAATAATCAAGTCAAACATTCCACTTTAAAATAATCTTTATTGTGAGGTGAAATTCTAATATTGTGATTACAGTTCTGTAATTGGTTTGTGGGGCCAATAAGGATATTTGACCATATCCAACTTGGTCTCTGGGAAGTAGTCGTTGAACTCTTCGACAGTCATTTGTTCGAAAGGGATCATGTTCTTTAATTTATCCAACTAAAAACAGAGAAAACACAGCACACCAGATAAAACAACAAAATATACATTTATGTTGCAACAATGTACATAGCTGCTCACAAAGCATTAAAACAAATCTCACCTCTTTTTCATAATGTGCAATACGGGCATTAGATGCTTCGATGTAGGCAGCTGCACCTTTGTTCTGGAGCAGAAAAGTAGAATTATTAGATTAGCAAAATCAGCACCTGTTCCTAATGCCGCAATTAACTATGATGTTCCACAAGAACTACTGACTGTCTATCGATTTCATGCTTTGTTTTCTTTAAAATCTGTTTGCTCAAAATTTGCATACTTACAGCCTCAGCCTCTTCTGCATTAATAGTACTTGTCTGAGTGTCAGTGGGCTGGGGCACCTGCAGGGCCTTGAACTGTGTAGAAAATAAAACATGACAAGAAATGTCAACAGTTCAAAACCTCATTCCAATTCAATAAAATATGGATAAATAAAATAAAATGGTACATTTTAAATTAATAAACAGTTATGTTTTTATTTTTATTTTTTGTACCAATAGGGTGGTAGTTGCAGGGCTGTCTCCATGTTAAATTTCATCACTGGAAATTAGACATATACATGGCAAAGTGTGACTCAAAGGATAAAATGCTGAAGCTAAAAACCACCAAAGAAGCAGTGAGGCAGATGGTTCTAGCTGAGATTAGTTTGGCCTTGATGGACAGCGACTACTACACCTGATCAATCTAACTGGCCGGTGGTATAAGAAGTACATTTCTAACATGTAGTAGAAATATCAAAATCACTTCAAACTAAGGTGTGTAGTAACTTGTCACTTGTGGAAACCAGTTCAACAGATTTATAGGATAACTATTAAATTAACATTTAACAACAATTAACATGCTAAAAGAATACAGTAAACCTGAAGTTTATAGTATATAAATGTGTCAAAAATGTTTTTATTAAAACTTGACTTGACCTCCAAATGTAGTACATCTTGCACTAGTGTTAATATGTATGGACTCACCTTCTTTTCAAAGTCATCAACCATTGCACGGTTAGCCACTGTAGTCTTGTAGAAATTCCAGTCAATGGCTGCAGGAGCCTCTGGCAGGGAAGAGAGTCTGGTAAAAGGGAACGAAAGATAAGATTTGGTTATTGAGGCTAGTATTAAATGTGTTAAGTAGATTAAAACAAACTTTTGTTTAATCAACGGCATAAATATAGTAGCAGTAAATATTTAATAAAATGTGAAAGAATAAAATGTCCAGATGTCAATGATTTGAGTGTCCTTTCTCTATCGGACAGTGACTGTACTGCGTCTTTTATACATTATATATACACAATGACTACATACCACCTGAGCTACTGTTCTTTGAAAACAAGCAATGAAACAAGCAACAAACATAAGATTTTTGTAATTGATTCCCCTGATGAGTTGTTGATGGGCTACGGTTTTATGAAGTAACAAGGTAACTCTGACTCAAACAAAACAGGATATATTGTTGCTCTGCTGGCAAGGCGCTGCTTTCCTGTGTTTGTATGCAAAATAATTAAAGGACATCATACATCCTTATTACATAAACTTCCGAGTCCAATAGAGTTCCTTTTGCATGCAACCTTTGGAAACCATCTCACCAACCTAAAATGCCTAACTGCTGTGAAAGTCATTAAATTTCCATAAATCATATGAACCTGATAAAATGTAATTTTTTTCAGAACTCCACAGATGACATGTAACGTACTTGGCAGAGATGGCGTCACTGCGGGTCTTCAGTGCGTTGAACATTGCCTTCTGGTTGGCCGGAACTCGCTCGGCAAAAGCCACCCAGTCAATGGCCTTCAGGGCTACCCGACGACCTGCCATAGTGACTGTCTGAGAAAGTGAACAATTTGATTAGTTCATTATTAATTCTAAACATTTTTGGTTTTACCAGACAAATAATCTAAGCCTGTGACAGCTTTTGGTATTATGTGTTGCTATTTAACAGGTAAAAATTAAAAAATAAAATCACAAAACACAAGTAATATATATTATACAAGTAAATATATAATAATATAATTCTGAATTGCACACACTAGATATAAATTTGTCTACCAAATGCCTGAAGAACTTTAGAGCTATAGTTACAAGCACGGTTAAATTCATGATCTTGATAAGTGGGCAAGCCGTTCAACAAAAATACAGAAAATTGTGGAGACTTGTTAATAGTGTATTTCATTATAATTTGAAAATTACAACCTACTGCCACGTTGGTAAACTACACGTAAACTTACAAGTTACAAGTACAAGTTAATGTGTACATAAACATATAACGTATCAACGAATAGCATAGCATCAATACACATGAAACATTCACTTAATATTAAACTACATGTATGCCTCTAATTAATGCATCAACATATTTAATAAATCAATGAGTACTATTCAATGATAGCGTATGGCTTGATTCGGGATTACGCAAAATATATGGTTGGCTTGCATTAAACAACCGTAATGAAAAGGAACGAGAAAATACAATTTATTGTTTGCAGGTATAAGAAGCTTTCCATGTGTTTTGTTATGTTCAAGTCCTCTGCAAAAATCAGCTAACGGAAGCTAGTTTGGTTAGCTAGCTAGCTAGCTAGCGAAGGTCAATAAAATCTTTCTGAAAGACAAAGGCTTAACGGCCTCGAAAAAAAACGTTTCGATCAGAGTCCGCTGCTCTCTGTATTGCTAAATAGTTGAAGACGGTCAGTTCCTTTTTAAATGATTAAAAATGAACGCTTCTTCATTCAATAACTCAAAATTCTGTTATACTCACCACGCAGAACCAGCTCGTTCGATCTGTGACAAGACAGAGCAGAGGAAGCGCTTCTTGTTCGAGTGGAAAGGGAAGCGTATCGAGACCGTTGTCGCCCTCTGCAGGACAGAAAAGAGGCGTAACAGTGAGGGTCTCATATAGTACGGCTGCTTTTAAATAAAGACTTTAATAATGTCACCTGATAAATTATTATTTGCACCAAATTATAATAAGTGAGTTACTTTTCTAAGATTTTATATGAAAAAGTAAGATATTTTACCGTGTCTCCTGTCTCACAGAGGACACAATAGGTCGACGAATTGAGGGATGCCTGGAGATTTCTTTGGTTCATAAAGAATAGTACTAGTAGATACAAAATAATCTGAAATTTTAGTTTTATTTTTTGATTGGAACAATCATAGAATATTCAACTCAACAATTCACACAAAAATCTATAGCAATGGATCTTAACATTTTAATTATGAAAATACAGCCTCAGAAATGATTTTACTCCATAGGCATGACCAACAAAGAAATACGGAAGCACAGATCAACCCCTTTCAGAGTACAGTGTACATAAAGATTAGATAGACAAGATAAGATATTTCTTATAAGACTATTTGCCTAGTTATCGACCAAATCCACTGTACCCTTAAGTTACACTACACGTGGTGATTAAATATGATTCTGAAAACTACAAACCCCAAAACCTCATATAAGAATATATATATATATGAGAGCTTTGTTTATGTGTTAGATTGCTCACTAAATGATAATGGGATCCAATTGCATCGCCTACCACTAGATAGCGCCAAAGTATAACCAGTGGTACACTTACCATAGCTTGAGAACCACCGGTCTATTTAATTTGCAGTAGCTATTTGAATACACTCACGGGCTTGCAGAAACTCAGCTTCTCCCGTCTTGGCAAAGGACGGATTAAGCTCGGGATTGAACCCACAACCTCCCACTTCCCAGAAGACGAGCTCAACTATAAAGCATAAGCTCCTTACGGGTAATGTGGATCATACTGTTGTAGTGGTCGATATATTATTTTATTACAGCCATCATGACTGCATTGGTTCAGTTATTCGACAAAGAGGATACCTTATATGGTCTTTTATCTATTGGAGCTTCGCTTTTACTAAAATACAAAAATACTCCATATCACTAATTTGAAACTACTGTGGGACACGAGAAACACCAGCACAGGATGTGGTCATCAATGAAACCGTTTAAATACAGACAGGGTCACGGTTATAGATGCGTTTAAATAGACGTGGATGTTTTTATTTATTTATAATTTGTCATTGTGTATTTTCAAATGAAACATCACGGCAGACTTTGCAAACTGCTGTTTTAATTATAGTTTAATTATTTGATATTTAATAATGAGTGGATGGGATGCAATTGTTGTCATTATATATATATTGTGTGTGTGTGTTAACTGAAATCCAAATATGAATTACAATTATACGAACACGATAAGGGTACAATAAAAATCAATCGTTTTTTACTGAAACAACTAATGCGTAAAAGTGACAACAATGTGTTTTTTTTCCTATCGTGTTTGATAACATGTTTTTACTTTATAAAGAAAACAACATGCTCTCCTGACGACAATGCTAATATGAGCGCATGTCCTTCTCTTTATTGGAGCGATCCAGAACTTTTCACAAATATGCAAAACACAAGCAATTTTAGAGCATGTTTAGATTTTATTTTCTAAAGTCAGTTTTTACAAGTAACTGAACAATTTTATGTACACAGTACAGATACAAACATATTCAATAAATATCAGATTTCCTGCCCGACCTCAGGTGAGACTGCAGGACTTTATGAACACTACAAATTTTATTTACATTATCTGCAGCTCTTCACAGAAAAAAAAACCTATCAATACTCCCACAAATGTCTCGTGGAGGGTTTTAAAATCTAATACAATTTACAAAATTAGACGGTAGAAAAATGATAGGAATGATCGAATATAGTCGAAAATATTCAAACAGCAATTGAGGTTTTACCCGAGGGTGAGAGGATATAGTCAAACAGCAGTGCGGGATAAGAAGGTGAACTCTAAGTGATGCACTGCTCTGAGACGTAAGGCACTGACACCAGTAAGTACTGTTCTGTTGCATCCAGAAGAATACTGCAGTCTTCGTGTTCGAATTCACTCCAGCTGTCCATTTTCACCACTGTTGGACAGAGTGGACAATGAACGAAGTGTTTAAAGCATGTCGTTTGAAAACCTGACATTTAAAGTTGGAACCACAACTGATTCCACAGCGCTTGTCACCATAATTACGAGTTCTGAGTGAGCGCTCGCAGTTCCATAACGCACCAACAAACAGACCGTAGTCTGTGTCGTGATGGCAGTGGTCATACATTTGACATCATAGAAAAGGTTTATTTTAGACCAGATTTAAAAAATAAACTCTGATATATTAAACACATGTTATCCTTCTGCGGTGCGGCCTTCCAAAGACTACAGGCAGCCCGAGGACAAGCACGCTAATGTGCACACACGCACTCGGGAGCATTAGGACAAGTAGTACATCCCATAAGTGGGTCCACCGAACAGTCCCGGCACTGGCAGACTGGGTCTCGGGAAGGCACTTGATGGGCTCCATGTGGGGGAGCCTATGTGCGCTCCGATGGGGAACGGCAGCGCAAAGGCGGGGAGGACGGGCTTGGAGGCCAGTTTGAACTTCTCCAGCTCGGCCTCTTGTAGTCTCTTGGCTTTGGCCCTTCTGTTCTGGAACCAGATCTTCACCTGAGTCTCCGTCAGATTGAGCGAGTTGGAGAACTCCGCTCTCTCGGCGATGGAGAGGTACTGTTTCTGGCGAAATTTGCGCTCCAAGGCCAGCAGCTGAGAGGTAGTGAAGGGCGTGCGAGGTTTCCTGTTATTTTTGTGTTTCCTTAAAGTACATTGATTTGGACTGGAGCTTCCTGTAAAGACAAAACAATCCAAGAAACACAAAGAAGATTTTACTGAACGGTGCCATCACTGTGGGTGAAGGATTGGACGTAAACATGACGTACAATAGACGTGTTTTCTCTAGACGAATCATGTTGCCATGGAAATTTATTTTCGTTATTTTCTTAGATTTAATTATTTATAATATGAAGGATCTACATTAGCACACTTATGATTTTAAATAATATGCAAGTAAAAGGATGCAATGAGATACTATAAACAGAGAAGTGTAGCAGGCAATGCGCTTCAACTGCATAATAAATAAATAATCTACACTCCTATAATTAGTCAAAGTATCATAAAGTATATATTGTTTTAAAGCAGATGTCTGAACAAAACAAATACAAGGGTGATGAGTAAATACATTTTATCCATGTTTTGGATCTCACAAATGTCAGGGAACAGCGGGAGGACGGACTTACGAGGAGGAGTAGTAAAGGAAGAAGTCTGGAACCAAGTGCTCTGTTCTTTCTCACAAAACTGTGGACTGTCTTCAGCGGAGCTGCTGGAGACAGCCCGAGAGCTCTCCGCGGAAACCTTGCCATCAGCGTAAAGAGTCCTTGGGGAGAACGGTGCGCCCTGTGTAACCCCGGGCTTGGGTAGGACCAGAGCAAGGTCCGAGGGGGGATAGGATGTCCGACAGGTGGGTTTTTTGGAAATCAACGACTCCACGCTAAACGGGAGGCAGCTCCGCTGTGATCTGTATCCCTTTTCCGTGGTCATGTCTTTGGGCTGGAGTTCATCTCCCTCCGTTTCCGTCTGTTCTTGTTTTTGTAGCAGTTTTGCGTCTCCGGACGGCGAACTTTGCGCAGCACTCATCGCGGTACAGGGGGATGCGGCGGCCATGCACCACCGTGCGGCCCGTTCAGGAGAGTGGTGTGTAGTAGTAATAAATGCGTCTCTACGTGCTGCCAGGGGTGACCAGTAGCTTAAAGCCGCCTGACGGGGGTCGTCTATAAAAGGACAGGGGTTGTCCTCCTTCCCTGCTCCAACCAATCAGCCCTTCGAGTTGGCTTTGTGACGTCTGCGAGTGCGGTCTCGATTGGCTCAGCGCCTCTCACAGGAACATCAAGAGGCCTTTGAGGGAAAAAAGGAGTTAATCATACAGACCTCATGCGGCGGAGGTCTATTGATGCTGCTCACAAAGTGGCTCAGGCCAATTTTAGCGCAATTAACCAGTGGGGAGGACTCTTCTGACCATTTACATCCATTAGCCGGACACTTCATCCCTGAGCTTCTCTGTGCTAAAATAATCACCAACTGTAAAGCGGAGCCAGAACTCGAGAGTCTTGACGCAAGTGATGCCTTCACGGGAGAAGAACAATAAAAAAGAGCCTATTTATTTATTTATTTATTTATTTCTGTGTTCAACAAATCCCAGACAGTGTTCCGCAGGATAACGGTATTAAAACAAAAAGTGGGCAAACAATCGGAATTTCTTTTTTAGAAAAGGAGTCAGTAAGACAAGGTATGGGGTTGAGGGATAGAAATTGATTAGGTATGACTGTTGGTCACACAGTATTATGGTAATTTAAGGCCTGTCATGAGCTCTTCTCTCTTCACAATGGCCTCACTTGAGAAGCAACAGGCGTTTTCTTTCTCCAGGTCATACTATTTAATAAGCCAGACAAGTTGTGTTTTGCAAGGCGCCAGGCTCGGCGGGTTCAAAAAGGAAGCCACCTCAGGCAGAAAAGGCAACGGTTAACTCCACTTAACCAATTGTCCCGCAGATATTTCATAGTCCGATGCGTGGAGCCGCTGACAGTTAACCGTTTCACGTCTGACGTCCGTGACAGTCGATCAAACTGATTTGTGATTTGTTGCTGTCACCCCACCATGTACCAGGAATCTATGTTTTTCTTTTTCTTTTTTTTTCAGGTAAATTGTATAATGAATATATTTTCGGGACAAGAACTGTCTCTCATTTAATTGTGCGCACTATCAGCACCATCACTGAGGTCAGTCCCGCATCCACAACACCATCATTTGTTACTTTACTGACACACCCTGTTTCAGGGCTGAATAGGATGAATTCCTTAATAAACAACTTGACATCCTGTCTATAAAAAAACGATGAGCTGCGATAACAGGACTGTGTTCCAACAAATAAATCACCCAAAATAATATTTTTCCTATAAAAAACATTTGAATTTTAAGAAAACAATAAAAATGTTTTTAAACATTCTTAATGGGTGCTCTTTTAAAAATTTAAACATTCTTAATGGGTGCTCTTTTTAACTAAGTTAATATCTGTGATAACTTGACTGATGATTAGCACCAGCTAATGTTTAAGAGCCCACTTCTTTATTTCCCTTTTCAGAAAGCCAGTCTTTATACAGCAGTGGCCTCTCATCAGCCAGCTGGTTTGGGTTTAAACCCCAGCAAAAGAGTGTGCCATCTCTTTATTCCCATTTTGTTGTGCCAAAAGAAGGATAAGAGTTGGCCTGGTGGACGGCATGTCTTCACATAAAGGCATTCATCAGATAAAGGTAGACCCAGAAAGAAAAGCAGACAAATACAGTTACCTCCTCTCCCCTGGAGTCCGCTCCAGCCAGTGTTTAGCTTTTACCCCCTCCTTTGTGCCCCAAACGACATTTCTGTAACAGCATGCAGGCGAGTGCACTGTGTCAGAAGGTGTTAGTAAGTTTAAAAGCAGATCTGTCCTTCAAGGTCAAAGTGTGCACTCTGGGATGAACACTACAGTCAGCTGATGCCAGGAATGAAAACATTTTTACATAAACTGCTCGTGCCTGTCTGCGACATTCGTATCACCATAAATCTGCTTGGACAGTTCACGAAAACATCAGAAGAATGAAAGCTCAACAAGCCACAGGAGAACCCACCTTCAAATGTTTTGAAAACACACACAGGAGAACCACAGGAGAACCCACAGGAGAACCCACCTTCAAATGTTTTCTGTCAATATGTCATTTGACACTTTTTTCATCCGTGTGCCCAAAGAAGGTCAGGGGTCGAGGCTATCTGTAAATGAGGTGAAGGTTTGCAGCACTTGATGAGCTCACACTCTGCAGTGCATCAACGACGTGAATGTTCTGCTGTGAAATATCACTCCACTCCTGCCTTGTTTTTGTTATTATTTTAAAGATACAGAATTTCTAATGAAGTAGAAGCTAAACTATTGTTGTTAAATGAAGATGTCAGTATAACTTTGAGTCATGTGACCCTGTTGCTTGATATGCCCAGCACCGCTCCTGGCATCTTAAATAGCTGTACTTTGGGTTATACTCAGAGCTGTGGAAAAATATCTTTGACCTTTCATTTGAGTTAACAAGTTGATCCAATCCACATCAGACCGACTTCAATCCTGCACTTATACGCTGGTTTGACATTTTCTGCCAAAACCACTTCCTCTTGTGGCATCATGGAGCTCTGTGTTTGAATGCCTGGTAATGAGGGAAATCTTCCTGCCTTGCTAAGAAAAGTGAGGCCGTGCTCCTTCATCATGGATTCCTACTCAGACTGTGACAGAGCAGTGAGGAGAATTTTAAAGTGTTCCTTCACATTCACACTCATATTTTGACTGAAATACACAAAATAACTCTGTCCCATTTGTCAGTGGTGGAGAGATTTGTATTTTTCTTTTAAACACATGCTGAAGTCTGAAAGGTCTCGTGTGCGTACGGCCGCATTTTAAAAGAACAACTCAAACGCTGGTACCGTCGACAGCATCTTCAAAACACAGATGTTTTCGCTGCGAGGTTCTCCCAGAACTCTGCTGCCAACAAAAATTGTTCAGAAGAAAAACCACAAGAGGTGACAATGCAATTGGCAATTCAGTCTGGCTTTCTCTTCACCATAAAAATTCACATTTTTGAGGAAAGTCTAGAAACAATGTGAGTGGGCGAGTTAGGTTGAAGACTGGAGATGAGGATCTCCATGTGGCTGCTCTGTGGTCTGAGTCAAACACCAAAGAATGTCACCACAATTTCATGGGCTCTCTGCAGCCAAAGCACTGATACTGTGTATCGAGAATAAAACAAGTTTGTCTTTGGCTTTAAATCTGAGTTGTGAAAATTACAGCAATATATTTAGTAGGTGAACTGTGTTTAATATGTATATTTAAACAAATTTTATTATTGTTCACTTTCACATTAAAGTAACAATCAAGGCCCAAGTGCTACTCACTGTGCTAATGCAGACAGTTTACAGTCCAAAATAATCAAATCTTTTCATGATAGAAAGTGGAATAAAAATTAAAAAATAACCAAGAAGGTTCTTTTCAGCTGTAAAGCTCCTCTTACAAAAACATTAGTCACACACAAAATTATAATTTCAGATAACTTCTGATTTGTTACAGCACTTTACTTCACATGTGGAGCTGTTTTTTTTTCCACTACAAAAATCAAGCCCTGACAGAAGCAGTGTCTGTTTTTTAGTCCATCTCACCTCAAACACATGGCTCTAATGAATGAGATCTAAACAAGTAACGCTTTTCTTATAGTAATAATGTTATTGCACGCACCAGAGGTCAGAACAATTGTGAGCATTTGAATGTCCTGAGATTACAATTTCAAAGTCCTCCCCATGTGAAGCGGAACAATGGGGAGGGTGGGAAGTTAAAAAAGCAGGGTCCCTTTCAAATAAACAAGCATGGCTTGATCCTGAATAGGGCTGCTACCGAGCAGTCGGATTGGTTCTCAGAAGATTGAGTGCAAAAGCTTTGCATGCACTCCCCACCACCTCCTCCACATCCTTCACCAACTCCCAAACAAACTGATATAGTAAACACAGAGGACCTGATAGAGCCACACTACTGTAATTCAGCTCCATTATCCCACCTCTTATCTCTTGTCTGCTCGCTTTTCCTCACCGCTGAACAGAGCGTGGTCGGGAAAGTAGTGTGTGTGTGTGGGGGGGTAAAGCTCCTCTTTTTTGTGCTATTGTGGGGGGGTGGGGGGTAGGTAAAGCTCCTCTTTTTTGTGCTATTGCCTAATGAGCCTAAAAATACAATTGCAGTCTTCTGACTGGGGAGATAGCCTGCAGGCTTTAGTGTAAATTAGCAGCACAAGGAAGCCCACAGGGTTGAGTCTTGCTGGGCTGCCAGAATAGGGAGATGTGGTGCGAGGGGAAAATCCTGTTAGGGCAGTGCATGTGGAGGAATCACGGTGCATATCTGACCCAACTGGAGTTGACAGAGTCACTTGTTGCATTGGCAAACTCCACATCCATGACAATTGCACTGCTGATGTGTGAGATTTATTGAAGCTGCACCGCAGCCACGAGTATTGGTGTCCACGATATGACATGTCAGTTGTTTGTCCCATTTCAAACCCATAATTCCAGTTTGTTCCACACAATGGCTTCTTTGAGTTGCGACTACAATCATCATTCAATTTAACCTTCTTTTCTTTTATAGGTCTCAGGGCCAGGCAGTAGAGGCAAGAGTCTCCCACATTGCATATGTCCTCTCATGAGCCCGAGGTGCTCTTTTGACCGCTCCGCTAGGCATCTGCTGCCCATAGCCTGCCATATCTGCATTCTAATGCACATATCCTGCTGGGATGTTAACTTTAGGCCTTCAGTAATTGATGGCTTCCACACTTCAGCCGAGTCCCCCCTTTTTCCCTCTCCCTGCCGATTGTTTGTATATCTCTGTGGTTTGGAGGTCTTTCAGTCAACCATTGTTCTTTTATGGTGGAATTATAATAGACCTAAGGACAGAGAGAAAAGAGACAGAGAGGAGGGGGCACCAGAGGGGAGGGAATAAAAAAAGAGTCATTGCTGATATTTAGTGAACTCCAATGGGGGAGTTTTCATTCTCATTCTGCAAGTTTGGCACATGCCTTCTGTTACTAAGTGGCAGTGCACTGAAAGACTGCCTTGCATTTCCCATTCTCCAGCTCCACTAGGTGCCTAGACTTACAACCCTGGCAGCTGTTGGGCCTTCTATGCAGCTATAGACTCCGCTCCACAGGTGAGCTCCCCTACCAAACTCCCAGTCTCCACTTCACTCAATAGGTCTTTTTCAAGTCTTTTATCAGTGGGAAGAGGGTGATTTTATGTGTATGCCACTCACAGAACTGCAATTCATGGCTTTCAAAATTGAAAATAATGTT